AAGTCAACCTCTTTTTTCTCCTGAACTGTCTTTTTTGGTATAACAAATGAACAATAATTCTGATAACTCATTGTATTCCAAGATTAATGAACAGGGCTTCCCGATTCTCATCCATCTGGATAATCTTCGCGTTGCCACTGAGGCTTTGATTTTCTTTCCTGCTGTTGCTTCTGTCTGGTCCTCGTTTCCCAAGTGGTGTCAAGAAGCAATCATGTACAGCATGAATGATGTCTTCAAGATACATCATCATGCTCAAGTCGGTTTGGTCAAGGCTTTGGATAGTCTCAAGGCTCACCTGGTTAATGGTACCTTTCCACAAGTCGTTCTCGCTGCTGTTCCGGGAGTTAAGAATCTGCATATGGACAATTCCCTGTCTGATGCAGATAAATCGCTTTTTTCTTCTTCCATTGAAAATGCGGTACTTTCGGCTCGTTCTGCTATTCTTAAAACCCTTATAGAAAGCAAAGAACGTGCACTACAGGCTCATCAATTGCAAGCATCACCCGCTTTTGTCCTAGCACAATGCCGTGATAGAATTTTTGAGTCGATTTTGGCCATGGGTGGTTCGATTGAACATCTTACCGATACCCAGATTCATGATGTGGTTCGTTCCCTGTGTCATCTCAGACACAACATGAATAATGTGCTCGAAACCCAGGCTTGGGCTAGAGTACAGGCCGAACGTAAACAGCAAAAGGCCAAATCTGCCGCTGATACCGTTATGGAATCTTCCTCTGACCTCTCTTCTGCCCAGCTCACTGACTCCATCACCAAGTTGGTTAACAAGACTGTTCAGTCAAAAATCTCGGCTCTTGACAAGAAATTGTCAAAACTTACTGTCTCTGGTTCCTCTTCTCGTCCGTCTTCTCGTCGTCCTGCTGCTTCGTCTTCGTCAAGAAAGCAAGGCAACCCCAAGTCGTCCTCTTCTTCGGGAAAAGGCTCTCGACCTTTGTCCGGCCCCACCAAGGGTCGAATCCAGAAAGGGGCCCCCAACCCCAATCGTCGTCTTGCCCCCGGTCCCACCCCCTTCAAAGCTTTGAAGGGAAAAAGAGGTTAAACCCTCTTAGTGGGCGTCACTACTCTTGTGAACATGGTACGTATAGATCTCCTACTACTTGTAGACACTTTGATGTTCGTAGAGCACACACTTATCCTCCTTGGTTTTTTCATAGTGCTCGCCTCAAAGATCGTATCAACTTTGTCATAAAGCATTCGTCCCCTCTATGGGCGGATACTTATATTTTTAATAAAGCTGTTCACAATTATTCTTCTATAAATATTCCAACTTCTGTTAGAAAATATTTAGGATTTGGTACAAAGTTTGTTCCTAAACCCAAAGCAAATCCTCGCTTAATTTTACCAAGCGTAGAAGACTTTACAAGACGCATTCGTATTAAGGAAATTTTCAAAGATACTCGTGATAATCCTGACTTTGATATTAGATTCCATGTCAAAACCTCGACTTGGAAACCTAATCCTTCCTCAAATACCTTGATTGAAAAAGGGCTTAGACTTGTAAAAAGTAATGTCATGCCTCTTAATCATCCTACACATTATCAAGTTTATAATAATAGACTTAATGATATTGTACCCAAGTTCTTTAAGGATTTTATTAATAATCCTGATATACTCATTAAAGCTTCTGATAAAAATCTTGGACTTACTGTTCTCGACACTAGCTGGTATATTCAAGAAGGACTTCGACAATTAAATGACCCCCGCTTCTATAAGCAATTAGACAAAAATTTCTTTTCTCCTGAAAATTTTGATTCTAATATTCAGAACATTGTTAGTACTGCTAATAGTTTATTATCTTTACTATGTTCTCAATGGGGTACATCCATCTTTAATAAACAACATGAGAAATATCTTAGGCATCGACTCCTTAATGATAGAAAGTTACCTACCTTTCATCTGTTGCCAAAGATTCACAAGACACCTATGCAAGGTCGTCCTATTGTTCCTTCTCACAGTTGGGTCACGACTGGTTTCTCTACTTATATTGATACAGTCTTACAAAAAGTACTTCCACACTTGCCCTATATTATTAAAGATACTAAATCCCTTGTTAAATCACTTGATGGAATTTCTATTCCTCAAGACGAAAGACTTTTATGGCTAGTTACTGGTGATGTGTCTTCAATGTACACTAATCTACCTACTACCCCATATGCTTTCGATGTTATTGCTAAAACTGTTGACAAATATCTTCCTCTTTCTCCAAATGATACTACCCTTATCAGAGAAACACTCAAGTTTGTCATGAGCAATAACTATTTTACTTTTCAAGGAATACCATATCATCAGGTCTCAGGTATTGCTATGGGTACTGCATGCGCTCCTGCTTATGCAAATATCTTGATGCATCATTTCGAAGAACGTTTCTTTGAATTTAATCCTGATTTTACTCTGATCTTTTATGGTCGATATATCGATGATATCTTTTTCATGTTTAAAGGTTCTGAACAAGAACTTAAAACTTTCTTGACTACTTTTGATACCAAACGTGCTTTTAGTAATCAATTAAAGATATCTTGGGATTATTCAACTACCTCTGTTAGTTTTCTTGACCTTCAAATTCATGCAAAACATAATAAAGTTGAATTATCCACACATCAGAAAATGCTTAATAAATACTTGTACATTCCATTCTCTTCTTATCATCCCAAAGATAATAAAGTTGGTTTTATTAAAGCTGAACTGATCAGATATATTCGTAACAGCTCTTCCTATCGAAGTTTTGCTAACACTGCTAAACAATTTTTTACTCGTTTACGACTCCGTGGTTACCCGCCACGATTCTTAATCTGGGTCTTTAGCCAAGTGCGTTACGATGACAGACCGAAATATCTAGAAGATGCTCCTCTTAGTACAGATAATACTCTTGTTCCTTTTGTTACAATGTATAATCCTATTTGGGAGACTCCACATCTTCGTAAAGGACTTAGGGAATTTTTTACTTTAAATCCACACTACAGACCAGTAGTTGCTTTTAAAAGAAATAAAAACATAGCTGATTTATTAAATCGTGCCAATGTACGCAAGTTAACGGGAAAACAGTTCCATTCATTACAACAGGATGGACTTTGTTGGATTTCGTCTAAAAAACGTAAACCATAACCCTTACCCTATCCCTAACCCTAACCCTAACACTAACACTAATGTTGATACCTCACACCAACACTAGTGCTTTAAAAAATTTGACCATGAAAGACCCCTCTTGGCCTCATGAAGAACAAATTTTTCACTTACCTTACCCTTACTTACACTGTGGACATTCCTGGTTGTAAGATCCTGATCATGCTTTCTATTAAAAAAAAGAAAACTGTCAGAATAACTCCTGAAATCTGCTCATATTTTACCTTGTAATTACCTCGGACTTGTTCTGTGGGACAGCGGCTTCTCTTATGGGAAGGGTTATAAGTAGTAAAATATATAGAGTGTTTTCAAAATAAAAAATGTGGGCGATAAAAATCCCCAATTTTTTCCAGGGTATTTATATTTTTTTCACCATTAGTCTCGGCACTTAACACCGAGTCTAAAAAAGGATCTCGGCACTTAACGCCGAATCTAAAAAAGATCTCGGCACTTAACGCCGAATCTCGGCACATAAACGCCGAATCTCGGCACATAAACGCCGAATCTCGGCACATAACGCCGAGTCTAAAGGGATCTCGGCACTTAACGCCGAGTCTAATCTTCCCTTAAATTTCCGGATCACGTCTTTCACCCGACTTATTCCGACTTTCGTGTGAAAAAATAATTTTTCAAAAAGATATATAAAGAGCTAGTATAATGCACCTGAAGAAGCTACATCTCTTGTAGCGAATAGATTCAATCTAAGTGTTTCTAGACTCTCTCCTTTGTTGCTTCTTTGGTTTTTGGATATATTTTCTATTATTATCTCTCTAACCCTAACCCTAACCCTAACCCTAACCCTAACCCTAACCCTAATCCTAACCCTAATTCTGACTCTAACCATAATTTTAATCCTAATCATAACCGTAATCCTAATTCTAATCCTATGTCTAATCTTATTCCTAACCCCTAACTCTTATCTTATATGTAACCCTATATTTAACACTAATGTTGGTACCTCACACCAACAATAGTACTTTGAAAAATTGACCATGAAAGACCCCTCTTGGTCTCATGAAGAACAAATTTTTTCACTTACCTTACCCATGCTTACACTGTGGACATTCCTGGTTGTAAGATCCTGATCATGCTTTCTATTAAAAAAGAAAACTGTCAGAATAACTCCTGAAATCTGCTCATATTTTACCTTGTAATTGCCTCGGACTTGTTCTGTGGGACATCGGCTTCTCTTATGTGAAGGGTTATAAGTAGTAAAATATATAGAGTGTTTTCAAAATAAAAAATGTGGGCGATAAAAATCCCCAATTTTTTCCAGGGTATTTATATTTTTTCACCATTAGTCTCGGCACTTAACACCGAGTCTAAAAAAGGATCTCGGCACTTAACGCCGAATCTCGGCACATAAACGCCGAATCTCGGCACATAAACGCCGAATCTCGGCACATAAACGCCGAATCTCGGCACATAACGCCGAATCTAAAGGGATCTCGGCACTTAACGCCGAGTCTAATCTTCCCTTAAATTTCCGGATCACGTCTTTCACCCGACTTATTCCGACTTTCGTGTGAAAAAATAATTTTTCAAAAAGATATATAAAGAGCTAGTATAATGCACCTGAAGAAGCTACATCTCTTGTAGCGAATAGATTCAATCTAAGTGTTTCTAGACTCTCTCCTTTGTTGCTTCTTTGGTTTTTGGATATATTTTTTATTATTATCTCTCTAACCCTAACCTCACTCCAACAATCTGCTCTTTCTGGTCACCGCTCTCTCTCTTGCCGTCACCACTACAACTATATCTCTTTTGGATCTCTCTGTCTCGCTCGTCAAAACTTTTTTCTCTCTCTCTCTCTCTCAAGTCAACCTCTTTTTTCTCCTGAACTGTCTTTTTTGGTATAACAAATGAACAATAATTCTGATAACTCATTGTATTCCAAGATTAATGAACAGGGCTTCCCGATTCTCATCCATCTGGATAATCTTCGCGTTGCCACTGAGGCTTTGATTTTCTTTCCTGCTGTTGCTTCTGTCTGGTCCTCGTTTCCCAAGTGGTGTCAAGAAGCAATCATGTACAGTATGAATGATGTCTTCAAGATCCATCATCATGCTCAAGTCGGTTTGGTCAAGGCTTTGGATAGTCTCAAGGCTCACCTGGTTAATGGTACCTTTCCACAAGTCGTTCTCGCTGCTGTTCCGGGAGTTAAGAATCTACATATGGACAATTCCCTGTCTGATGCAGATAAATCGCTTTTTTCTTCTTCCATTGAAAATGCGGTACTTTCGGCTCGTTCTGCTATTCTTAAAACCCTTATAGAAAGCAAAGAACGTGCACTACAGGCTCATCAATTGCAAGCATCACCCGCTTTTGTCCTAGCACAATGCCGTGATAGAATTTTTGAGTCGATTTTGGCCATGGGTGGTTCGATTGAACATCTTACCGATACCCAGATTCATGATGTGGTTCGTTCCCTGTGTCATCTCAGACATAACATGAATAATGTGCTCGAAACCCAGGCTTGGGCTAGAGTACAGGCCGAACGTAAACAGCAAAAGGCCAAATCTGCCGCTGATACCGTTATGGAATCTTCCTCTGACCTCTCTTCTGCCCAACTCACTGACTCCATCACCAAGTTGGTTAACAAGACTGTTCAGTCAAAAATCTCGGCTCTTGACAAGAAATTGTCAAAACTTACTGTCTCTGGTTCCTCTTCTCGTCCGTCTTCTCGTCGTCCTGCTGCTTCGTCTTCCTCAAGAAAGCAAGGCAACTCCAAGTCGTCCTCTTCTTCCTCGGGAAAAGGCTCTCGACCTTTGTCCGGCCCCACCAAGGGTCGAATCCAGAAAGGGGCCCCCAACCCCAATCGTCGTCTTGCCCCCGGTCCCACCCCCTTCAAAGCTTTGAAGGGAAAAAGAGGTTAAACCCTCTTAGTGGGCGTCACTACTCTTGTGAACATGGTACGTATAGATCTCCTACTACTTGTAGACACTTTGATGTTCGTAGAGCACACACTTATCCTCCTTGGTTTTTTCATAGTGTTCGCCTCAAAGATCGTATCAACTTTGTCATAAAGCATTCGTCCCCTCTATGGGCGGATACTTATATTTTTAATAAAGCTGTTCACAATTATTCTTCTATAAATATTCCAACTTCTGTTAGAAAATATTTAGGATTTGGTACAAAGTTTGTTCCTAAACCCAAAGCAAATCCTCGCTTAATTTTACCAAGCGTAGAAGACTTTACAAGACGCATTCGTATTAAGGAAATTTTCAAAGATACTCGTGATAATCCTGACTTTGATATTAGATTCCATGTCAAAACCTCGACTTGGAAACCTAATCCTTCCTCAAATACCTTGATTGAAAAAGGGCTTAGACTTGTAAAAAGTAATGTCATGCCTCTTAATCATCCTACACATTATCAAGTTTATAATAATAGACTTAATGATATTGTACCCAAGTTCTTTAAGGAATTTATTAATAATCCTGATATACTCATTAAAGCTTCTGATAAAAATCTTGGACTCACTGTTCTTGACACTAGCTGGTATATTCAAGAAGGACTTCGACAATTAAATGACCCCCGCTTCTATAAGCAATTAGACAAAAATTTCTTTTCTCCTGAAAATTTTGATTCTAATATTCAGAACATTGTTAGTACTGCTAATAGTTTATTATCTTTACTATGTTCTCAATGGGGTACATCCATCTTTAATAAACAGCATGAGAAATATCTTAGGCATCGACTCCTTAATGATAGAAAGTTACCTACCTTTCATCTGCTGCCAAAGATTCACAAGACACCTATGCAAGGTCGTCCTATTGTTCCTTCTCATAGTTGGGTCACGACTGGTTTCTCTACTTATATTGATACAGTCTTACAAAAAGTACTTCCACACTTGCCCTATATTATTAAAGATACTAAATCCCTTGTTAAATCACTTGATGGAATTTCTATTCCTCAAGACGAAAGACTTTTATGGCTAGTTACTGGTGATGTGTCTTCAATGTACACTAATCTACCTACTACCCCATATGCTTTCGATGTTATTGCTAAAACTGTTGACAAATATCTTCCTCTTTCTCCAAATGATACTACCCTTATCAGAGAAACACTCAAGTTTGTCATGAGCAATAACTATTTTACTTTTCAAGGAATACCATATCATCAGGTCTCAGGTATTGCTATGGGTACTGCATGCGCTCCTGCTTATGCAAATATCTTGATGCATCATTTCGAAGAACGTTTCTTTGAATTTAATCCTGATTTTACTCTGATCTTTTATGGTCGATATATCGATGATATCTTTTTCATGTTTAAAGGTTCTGAACAAGAACTTAAAACTTTCTTGACTACTTTTGATACCAAACGTGCTTTTAGTAATCAATTAAAGATATCTTGGGATTATTCAACTACCTCTGTTAGTTTTCTTGACCTTCAAATTCATGCAAAACATAATAAAGTTGAATTATCCACACATCAGAAAATGCTTAATAAATACTTGTACATTCCATTCTCTTCTTATCATCCCAAAGATAATAAAGTTGGTTTTATTAAAGCTGAACTGATCAGATATATTCGTAACAGCTCTTCCTATCGAAGTTTTGCTAACACTGCTAAACAATTTTTTACTCGTTTACGACTCCGTGGTTACCCGCCACGATTCTTAATCTGGGTCTTTAGCCAAGTGCGTTACGATGACAGACCGAAATATCTAGAAGATGCTCCTCTTAGTACAGATAATACTCTTGTTCCTTTTGTTACAATGTATAATCCTATTTGGGAGACTCCACATCTTCGTAAAGGACTTAGGGAATTTTTTACTTTAAATCCACACTACAGACCAGTAGTTGCTTTTAAAAGAAATAAAAACATAGCTGATTTATTAAATCGTGCCAATGTACGCAAGTTAACGGGAAAACAGTTCCATTCATTACAACAGGATGGACTTTGTTGGATTTCGTCTAAAAAACGTAAACCATAACCCTTACCCTATCCCTAACCCTAACCCTAACACTAACACTAATGTTGGTACCTCACACCAGCAATAGTACTTTGAAAAATTTGACCATGAAAGACCCCTCTTGGTCTCATGAAGAACAAATTTTTCACTTACCTTACCCTTACTTACACTGTGGACATTCCTGGTTGTAAGATCCTGATCATGCTTTCTATTAAAAAAAGAAAACTGTCAGAATAACTCCTGAAATCTGCTCATATTTTACCTTGTAATTGCCTCGGACTTGTTCTGTGGGACATCGGCTTCTTTTATGGGAAGGGTTATAAGTAGTAAAATATATAGAGTGTTTTCAAAATAAAAAATGTGGGCGATAAAAATCCCCAATTTTTTCCAGGGTATTTATATTTTTTCACCATTAGTCTCGGCACTTAACACCGAGTCTAAAAAAGGATCTCGGCACTTAACGCCGAATCTCGGCACTTAAACGCCGAATCTCGGCACATAAACGCCGAATCTAAAGGGATCTCGGCACTTAACGCCGAGTCTAATCTTCCCTTAAATTTCCGGATCACGTCTTTCACCCGACTTATTCCGACTTTCGTGTGAAAAAATAATTTTTCAAAAAGATATATAAAGAGCTAGTATAATGCACCTGAAGAAGCTACATCTCATTGTAGCGAATAGATTCAAATCTAAGTGTCTCTAGACTCTCAACTTTGTTGCTTCTTTATCGGTTTTTTGGATATATTCTTATTTTTATTCCTATCTAACCCTAACCCTAACCCTGATCCTGACATTATCTCTAACCCTAACAATATTCCTAATCTTATCTATATTCCTGACCCTAATCATAATACTAATCCTAATATATGCCTATCTCTGATCTGTTCATAACTGTATTCATAATCCTAATATTATCATAATGTCAAACAGGTCACTTATCCTAACAATAATCCTGAACCTTATGTTTAATCCTGACATTAACATTGACTCTAACCCTGTTCTTAATATTATCATTAACCATAATATAAATTTATGACTAATATTGACTATAATATTAACTCTAATCATAACACTAATGTTGTTCCAGTGCCTTATTATATTCATAATTCTAACCCTAATTTTAATCGTAAAAACTATAATATTAACCATAATCCCTATCATTAATCCTAGTTTGGTCCTATTATTATCCTTTCCCTCATCCTATTCTTAATCTTATCCCTAATCATAATCATACTCCTATTTTTAATCTTAACTTTAATGTTAATGTTATTACTATTCCTATTATATATATATCATAACCCTAATCTTAACATGTACATATATTTAATCTTGATCATAATTCTAACCCTAATATAATCTGTTTCTTTTTTTTTTTTCTTCTTCTTCTTTGTCTCTTATTCGATTATTGTATATTATCTTATGTAATATGTGTTGTTTTATTCATTACTTTTGTATTATTTTATATATATGCTATACCTATTATTATCTATTATCCCTTATTTATATATTTTTATTATGTGTATTTATTCATTGTACCCTCGTGTTTGTGAAATGGTATTATGCATTTATGTGTTCTATTTGCTATACAAGTATCATCCTGTTCGTTGTATAGTGGTAATTATTATTCTCTGCTATGGTAATGTATTCGCTCCGCTATGGTAATGTATTCGCTTTTTATTTTCTTTTATTTATTTATATTTTTATTTTTTTTACTGTTCATATTCTCTCTTATTTGTTTTTTTTTCTTTATCTCTGTTACTATTTTTATTATTTCTTTCTACTTTGTCTATTTCTTTTCTCTACCCCTTTCCCCTTTTCTGTCTTTTTTTGCCTATTCTTCTCTCCTTTTCTGTGTATTTATTTTCGTAGTTTCTTCGTCCTTTCTCTTTCTATAATTCTTCCTATTCCATTTCCTCGTCTCTGTGTATTTTATCCCCTATCCCTTTTCTTTTTTTCTTGTTTGTTTTTCCCTTCTCTCTGTATATGCTTTCTCTCTTTCTGTTATTCTCTCTTTCCGTTCTCTCTTTCCCCCTTTGTCTGTGTTTTTGTCCACCTTTCTTTTTTTCATATATCTTTTCTCTGTTTATATTTGCGTTTTTGCTTCTCCGTTTTTTCTTTGTTTGCTTGTTCTCCCGGTCTCTTCCTGTGCTTTATCTTCATGTTTCCCTTTTCTGTTCTGCTTATATTCTTTATCCTCCTTCTCGAACCTTTTTCTTTTCGACTTTTTTTCTCTATTTATTTCTTTCTGTTTCTTTATCGCATTTTCTTTCCTTGACATTGTTTCTTTCGCCTTTCTTTTATCTTTGCCTATTTTCTTCTTTCATGTTTATTTTTTTTTTTGACTTACTTCTCCTTTCGCGTTATTTCCTTCATTTCTCTTTTTTCTTTCTCAATTTATTCCTACTCTTTTCTTTGCTTCTTATTCTTTACATTACTTTCATTTCTTTCGTCTCTTTGCTTTCCTACCATCTCCTTTTATATGTCTTTTTTTCTTTGTCCTATATATTACATTCTGTCTTTTCATGGTTTTCTTTGCTTCCCTTTATTGGTTTTGACTATTATTTGTACTTTTCTTTCTTAACTGTCTCAATTTTTCTATCTGTTTTGTTTGATTTACTCTTTTGCATTCTTTTTTGTTTATTATTTTTGCTCAATTTCTCTCTTTTTTTATGTATTTATTTTTTATCATTTTAATTCCTATTTTATCGGGTCCTTGTTTATCCAGTATTCGTTCCCATACTTGTTGTTGCTTCTTTTCTTATTATCGCAGTCTTATCTTTTCCCTTCTTTGTTCTTTTCTTAGTATCACAACCTTTTCTTTTTCTTTTCATTGTTGCTTTGCTCTATTCTGTTTTGATTTGTTTCTTTTAAATGTCACTATTCATTTTTTTATCACATTCCCTCTTTTATATATTCTTTGTTTAATATCCCAATCTCTTCTTGTGGTATTCTTACATTTTGTCTAATCCCTCCTTTTTTCCCTTTGTTTATTCTTCTGCCCTAATATATCAACAGTTGTTTTGTCGTGTATCATATTGAAAGCCCATAATAAGTTGTATCTCGTTCATCATTTTCCTCAATTGCTATTTTTCATTATTGATGAGTGATGTTGATGACTTATTTAAGATTTGTGATAACATATCAAGAAAGTGTAATGCTAACTAACCATTGACGCTTGATAGCATATTTATAAGTTGGCTGGTGCTCTCTCGTTACTGTTAAGAGCTTTCTATATTTTTTTAATAGTAAAACTGAAATTGATTATAACAGTTTAATGATATAATTATTTCAAACTATTTTTTTTTACTAATTATTCCAGAGCACGCTCTATGTAGTGGTATATATGTGACCGCTCAGTGAAGCAATCTCGGGTGAGATAATAACTGGATAACATTTTCTTTAAGTTCGCATACGCGAACTGGGCTATCTTCGGTTATCTTAGGCTACTTTCCCCTGTTTTTCAAACACCGAGCACTTCGGTGTTTGGGAAATGTTATTAGGAATGATATCTCATGTATCATGGTACCCAAGCACCGTGAGTCTGGCTTCTGATTGGCCATTCAAATGATACCTGTAATAATAGGATATCCTATTCTTATGTATCACTTGCCCTTTGTTCTGATCGGCTTTTAGCATGATGCCCATAGTACCCATGGTACCTAAGGTACCATTTCTCGACGACTCACGGCGTGAGTCGCCCAGAAATGTTATTAGGATATATTTTTGTATAATTATTATTTTTAACCACCAACGATATTGCATTTATGTCTACCAACCCATAAATACTTGGATGACTGGACCGTTCAGACAATGATTGTACCCGGCAAGAAGGCTCCAGTGGATATTGAATGATACTTAGCTATTTTTGTGGACGAAGTTCGTGATTTTAGTGAACACGGCATGCTGGTTCGAGTGAATGGTGGTAAAGTTGCCCGAGTAAGCGTTCATTTGGCAATGGCGATAGGCAATCTTGTAGAAGTATCACATTTGATGTTGCATGGAGGAGTCTCCATTCAGTTTGGCTGTATGAAGTGCCTCATAGACACACAAGGAGGCCAATGCTTTACTCGCACAATTAGAAATTTCCAATACAAAACTCTCGAACAACTGAAAGCACCACTGCCTGTTGGCGTAAAACATGTGTTTGTAAGTGAAGCGATTTCATTAAACAATCATGTATAGTTCTTGTACCAACCATCGTCTCTTCTATAGAACATCAAAGGACCATCCATGTTTACCACTCTCAAGTCTTTTCCTGCCAACCCATCGTTCTACGGTCTCAACACACTTCACCTACTGAGCATTGGATTAGCTAAGCATTTGTACGAGCTCTTGTCTTCTCCATTCCATCCATCCAAGTTTGATAACCGATACAAGCCCTCTATCGAAGAACTGAAAGAAGCAAAGCTTGATAAAGCAAGTGCCTGGCCTTACACCTTTGATTTAGATCCCAAAGTTCTGGCAAAGATCGGTCAGTATGTGGCTCAGTCAAAGAAGACCGTTCCAACTACCTTCAATGCACCATTCAACGACATTTTTGCACCAGGAGGAGTTACCAACTACCGAGCAGTTGACTATGAAGAGTTTATGATTTTCATTGTTCCAGCCCTGATAGCACCACACTATCCTGACTCAATCAGAAAACCTCTTCTGGGTATCGTTAAAGTGGCAGCTTTGGTATTGCAGAAGAATGAATTGCATGCTTCAGACTTACAATTCATAGAAGCGTAAGTATTGGCATCTTGCATAACAAAACCCATTTTATCCACAGACTAACAACTCACTTCTTTCTATCTCTGCACAGTAAGGTTAACGATTGGCACAAACTGCTGATCACTGAAATCAAAGCCAAACGCCTTCCTATCAAGACCTTTCGCCCAAACGCCCATTATTTAGGACACTTGACTTACATGATCAAAGCGCAAGGTTTACCGGCTTCGACTTCCAGTCGATCTATCGAAAGATCCATCGGTAGGTACAAACGCTTGATAAGTGCTCGCACAGATGTTGGTATACATGCCGGAAACATCATTGATCGTTTGGCAATTATGCGAGCCATCAAGGCATCTACAACTGGTGATGGTACAGGCGATGGTAAAGACAAACTGAATGATCTGGATGCTCGAATCAATCTCTTAGTGCCTCAACGGTATGATCCAACTACCTTCGTAAATTTAAAGAATGACGATGACAACGGAAGTCAGCTCTGGTATCCAGTCATCCACACAACGGTTTCAAGTATCCCAACCTCCATCAACATCAACATACGTCTTTTTGTCAAGGCTATACAGTCCTACTACGACCGGCAATACTCGACTAATGTTCTGCAGGATGTCCATATCAATGATCAACTGGATATTGTCGTCTCTGGAAGTGCCTGGGCATACAACTGCACTTATCGTTCAGAGTACTATCGCGATCTCACCGGTGCTAATTCTAGAGGAAGCCACTACATCATGGTATGGGCAGAATACTTGAGTTATGTCAATTCACAGGCTCATTATTGCCTTTATCGTTACTCATCAAAACCCATACTGGCGTCTGAATTTCCTAAGGTAACTCTCGTCGCAAAGTCAAGGCTTTCTATGTAGGGGCTGTTATTTTCATGTTCAAGCTCGAAATTGAGGGGATTGGCGATGAATTGTTCTTGCTTATTCGATTGGGAAAGACTCATGCTGTTGACGACAAAGACAAGACGATGCCCATAGTGGAGCTGGATGATGACTAGGATTCATCCGCATATCTGGTGTGCACATTTGAGCAGGTCATTTGCCAAGTTGGTCTGATGCGTTTTAGCGAGAATGACAAGAGATATAAAGTGATAACGAAGGAAAAGGTTTTCCGGACCTCGATAGAGGCTTATAAACCTGGAAAAAACTCATTTGTGCTACTTCAATAATAAAGATAAATATAGTACTTATTATTGTATTAGTACCCCCAACAAGTTAACAGACATTCAGCTTCATGATGTCGTTGTCCTCTTCTTCGTTTCTTCCCTTTTAGCTTCTGACATCAAAGACATCCCATTCAGCTCACTAAACAACGCTCAGTTCCTTTAATATGTGCCGAAAAGCACCATTAATTGCGGAGTAGGTGCCCCAACCTTAACTTGAGTAAAACACTAGTGCGAATAGCACTGTTGCCAGACAATGGCATCTTAAATTTTATGAAATTCTTATTTTTCCTTCATTCAATTGCCAATGTATTTATGTCTCACCCTTGCTATAAAGACCTAAGCGTGTATACAAAACAGGTTCCGACAAATGTCTTCTTTTTTGCCGTCTCCCTCACCTTCCATTCTTTATTGAATTCTTCCTTCTGTTTTCGCCTCGTCCTACTATTACTTAAGGCTTTGAACACTGATTTTTGCAAATATCAACGAAACACAAGGGCCACGATGGTTAAGATTCCTCTCACAACAATCTTTTTGCTCTTGTAAACCGGAAAGGTTCTATTGGGCTTTTTCTCCCGTATCTCTAAGATGATTTTTACCACTTTTAGCATCAAATAGGTGTTTCTTACTGCTTTTAGCGCTGAATACGCTGCTAACTCCTACTTTGAAGCGGTATTTTAAATACAAAAGACTTTCAAGATCCAATGCAAATATGATTCTGACAAATTTCAGTTTTCCCCTTTCCTTCATGGTTTATACGGTATTCTTCAATGGACGTTTACTTGCTCTCTCTTAGTTTTGATAGAATAGTGATAGATCTGCCGTTCAATTGTATACATAGGAGGGTATTACGAAAAACACCGAGAAAAACTTTAGATATTGATATTGTGCTTAATTTCCTGCCTAAACATGCAGAACAAAAAAGCTATATAAGAACTAGACACTTTGATGAATCCAAAAAAAAACTATCCTGAACACCGCATGTGCAACAATCAATTTTCAACTGCGAGATAAAGTGTTTAGAGGCCATTCTCTTTAGATTTGTTCCGGAAACGTATATAACAAACTAGATGTATAAGAAGAGGAAACATTGGGCAATCGTATTATTATTCTTGAGCACCCGATGACCCTTTGGGAATTCATAAATTGACATTTACTCAAAAAATATGCCTAATTTGCTTCTTTTTACATATTTTTATAGATAGATTTTGAAACCTTCGTTAGGCTATAACAAAGCATACGTGCTGCATTCTTTATTTCAAAGTTTTATATACTCAAAAAATGTGTTTTTGTGTAATATATTTTGTCCTCACTTCCTCAAATGGTTAAGCATTTGATGTACATCCATTTTTTGTGATACCACTGATAATTCTTTATTGAAAAAAAAATCCAATGCACCTTCAATACCCCAATTTTGGTGCAGATGATCTAAGTCTTGGTGCTTTTACTCTAAACTTGGTGTATTTGCACCAAGATTTTCGCCGTAGTGTTTTAGCATGATACCCATGGTATCCAGCTCAATAAACTCTACTTGCTGAGTGAATACAAATTGAACACTGCCGGCATTGTAAAGTATGGTATTCTTCCCAGAGCCAGTGGATAGTAAAATGTCCCGGAATTCCACATTTTGCCTGTATCCAGAGCATCTGAAAATTCTTCTTTTTGATATATTCATACTGGAAAAGACCAGATTATTACATATTTTTATTATAAATCAATTCATCTCGTTGTGTGTTATCACACTGTCTACTTACAACAGTATTTTTATATGTATAATATAATCTTATGAAATCAAAACAGCACTCTTGCGATGCCATTTTTACATCAATAGCTTTAAAGTCCGTTTAATTTTGAACCCCGATTAAATCGACTTAGTAGAGTCATTGTCTTTGAGGGAGTGTTGTGCCGCGAGATACTTATAAACATGGTTTTTTTGACATGGAAATCTCTTTTGAGACGTCAAAGTATTTTTATTCAAAAAGTCTGAGTCAAAAGATGCAGTATTGGGGTATTTGTAGGCGTTCAAAAGTAAGCAATTATTCCCGCCTGTCTGCTCTAGTGCTTAATGCTTTTGCGCATTTTGAATGTTAATATTATTTGTACCACTATTGGGTGTAATAATTCTTTCTATTTATGCCTACAGTATGTGCAGTAAATAATTGATAGACGAACTTAACCTCTGAAAATATAATGAGATTGTGATTCAGATTATTAATTCACAAAAAAAACTATCATGAAACGAAGAAATATCTCGAAATTCCGAGTGAATGAACTAGAAGACTAGATTCCCATCATAAAAATATCCAAAATAAATGTCATCTCAATCTAGCCACGCTGTCGTCAACAGATAAGCATACATAATAATAGCATTAGCATGATGATAACAAGGTGAAATACTTTGAAAGCAAGAGATGGCAGATACTGAGCTGCAGTAAATGTCAAGAGTATTGTAGTGTGCTGTAACACAAATAAACGTTAGTAAAATACATGCACCAAAATAAAGAGCTATTCTTTACTCTTGTTTCGCAAATCATATATTGAAATAATGTTCTTAATTCATCCGATCAACAACAAAATAACCCAACAATAATAAACTAAATAATGTAACCATGACCAGATAGAAAATAATATAAATAGAGACGTAGAATAAATGTTTTCTTGCACATTGCAGTGAAAGCAGGTTTGAATAGATTTCACAAAAAAAAATAAAGCAATAGTAAAATACAATAGAAATCAACTGTATTTTATTTGTGTATCAAATGAACTGAAGATCCTGGAGTTGAGTAAAAAACGAAGAGTATTTATACATTTGCAACTAGCTTGTAGGATTAGTGATGATAGAGAGCAATAGGTTCTTCTATTGCGATATCTGACAAATGTTGTTGATGTTTAATTTAAAGTGGTAATCAATGCAAGAGCACTGGCCATAAGGGTCGATTTGAGTAACCTTGATAGCACTACGGCCCAACTGATGTTCCAGAAAGGTGAAAAATGCTCTCATATGGGAACATCGGCGTTCCTAAAGATCTATTATAAGTCGGCCGATGTTCTCATGAGAACATCCGAAATGTTCCCATGTGAGCACATCCATATTCTTATATGGGTGTCGTTAATAGAGATACGGTTATTGAGTAGACCTTGGCAAATGTATATAAAAGAATAGAATTGAGATAAAAGATGATCTTTATTGTTTTGCAAACTGATTTGATATTTATACTAAATTAAAAGGTTACACACAAAGACTATGTGTACCTGACATGGGCACATCGATTTTCAGAAATTTGAAAAAAAAGAATGCTCCTATCGGGGTCGAACCCACAACCTATCGGTTGTGGATCTGACGTTCTTTCCACTAAACTACTCGAATATCTTATTGAAATATATTTTTTACTTTAGTAAGTAGTTATCAGGTAATTTTAAATTGCCATTTTCTCGTGCAATTTATAATACGTTTAGTAATTTTATGAATCTTACAGATAATAAAAGTCTTTCTATTGCCTACAATATTATAGTTTAGCTATTAAAACCATTTATTCTTGTGGAAAACTACATCTTCTCAAATGAGAACATCAATGTGCTCATGAGAACATCGATGTTCCCAAAAGAGCACATCCATGTTCTGTGAGAACATCAGTTGGGCCGTAGTGATCCGTACATCAAGTGTTTGTCTGCATGTTACAAACAGTCTGGTATTATCACTATCAGCACCACTTCCATCAATCCACATTCTTACCTTCTATCCTCCTTTCCTATCTACGAAACTCACTTACAACCCTACACTCCCAAGAAAACTTTCATCAAATTCTCTAATTTGATACCCCATTATATCCAGTCTTTTCCCCTCTCCCTTTAATTAGGTGACGAAAAGAACTTTAAATAAAGCATTGATTTGCCCTAAAAAAAGATATCGTCTTTCTTCGACTTTTTTAATCTATTTCATGATATTCGACTATAAAAACTGTGATGATTACCCTACGCTTCCTAATACAGTCCCTGGTGGTAGGGCGAAGTGGTAGAACTCCCGTATGCCAACGGTAGGATCCCGGTTCAAATCCTGGTGAACGCAAGTTGTTTGATTTTTGACGTAGTACTGATGTCCTCATTTGGTGTTTGTACTCTATCCATTATCTATATTTTGACGATTTCCGCAAGACTGTATTGGCTCTAGGAGTCGCACCTTATTAGTAGTAGATTTCTTTCCCAACTTAGTTCAAAAATATCTTATTCCCCTTCATTGCAGACATTGGGTCCACCAACAGTCTTTTCTATCCCTCAGTATGACATTTAAAGGACTTTAAATAAAACCTGGAGCTCGACTCCCCTAAAAAAAAAAAAAAAAAAAAAAAAAACGCTTCCTAATACATTCTTCAAGTACTTTTCAAGGCGCTTCTAATGGTGCTAACTGTAATAAATGTTTTGACTTAAATTATTGAGCGATTTAATAAAATTTGAAACGTGGTTTTTAGCGAAAATAGCCTTATTTTGCATATGAAGACCCCATAAAAGTGGTTTCAGAGGTTTCTTCGGATCGAGAGAAACATTTTGATTTGATATATGCCACAGTAAAAGTCTTTATTTTTAAGGTAAAAAATACGATCGTTTGATTTTTGATGAAAGCCATGAGGTCCCCTCTCATGGTTCTTGGTCGATTTTTGACGATATTTTTTAGGCCCTCAAAAAGTAGAGCAAAGGTGTCAGGAAGTTACTACTACTCAAGTACAATTGTTTGGCGTCATTCCGGTGGCTCAGAAAGGTCTACATGTCAAGTTATGAAGGCTTGAAAACTGTCAAATTTGGTTATTTATTGCTTTATAGAGTTCATTTACACGGCATAATTTACATCTGGAAGGCAGCTATGTAGCTTGAGCAATTTTTAATTCGAATAGGAGGCATATTGATTTTGGTAAAGCTGATTCATGCAAATTTTAATGCGTTATGTTGCTGGTAAGCTTATTAACAATGGAAATGAAAATCTGAATTTGCTCCTTGTTGACTACTATGGTTTTGCACCTTCGCTTCACGACGGTAAAACCCTCATTGAGATTAATATTACCAAACGTTGGGTTAGATGCTTAGTTGCCATGGCTTTGCACCTTCGTCTTGCTATGGTAAAACTCTCTTATGGGTCAATGTTAACAAATGTTGAATTAGATGCAATCTCACTATAGTGAAGATAATTTACCCCATTAGTTACGATTTTTTCTCCAGTATTAGAACCATCCTCTATTCCGCTTCAAGTACAATTTTAAAGACTTTTTATCATTGCGCTTGACGTAACACTCAGGACGTCCTATTCGCTTTCGACTACGTTATAACAGGAAATGATATGGGACCTGGAATCACTCTTCTGGGTATCATACCATTAGGCTTACCAGCTAGCCTCCTGCTTAGGGTAACATCTCCGTGCTTTGATGAACAATCCGATTGTGCCGAATGCAGCTTATTCCATGAATCAGCCCTTATTTTCTGCATGGAAAATAGCTACATGCTCGCCATTCGATGTTAGCAACACTTTTTAAGGTACATAAACATGGGTATTTGATACTGGCCAGTTATTTTCTATTCATTTTTATTTATCATCAATTCATCTTTTGATATGTATTTTTGTTTTCTAAAACTACATTCGACCAATTAAACTCTCTCTTCCTTCTTTGAAAATGTGGATGAATATTCATACGATTATGGCATACCCCTTACAATTATACACAGCCTATCCATTACAATTGCTAGATCATGTATCGTCGTGCTTGCATTTGATTTGATTTCGAGTCGATACCTTTATTTCTCTTCCATCACTCCCATTTCAATATGATTTATATTACGTTTACTTCCTCTTTCCATCGTTGACATGAACAATAATGGCAATTTAGAAATTTCAATGACATTTGATGTGAAGAAGCGCTACTTTGCTTTGTTCTTCCAATTTGGAATATCAGGATTAACCACGAGAAGGTAAAAGTAGATCTAATCCCAAAAAAAATCAGAGATTTTAAACTGTCGTAGATACGTTACCCAGGAAGGACCGTGATAACGGTTTACTCTTCTTCAACCACAAACAGAAATTAAATATACACATTACCCGGAATGTACCGTTGATATTGCTACATATGATTCCTTAGCGTCCATTGTAGTAAGACACGTTACCCAGGAACGGACCGTGATAACGGTTTACACTCTTTAACAATAGAAATCCTGGGGATGAAAATAAAATGCATATGTTATCAGCAATGCAATACTGATAGCATTGTGCATGTTCTTTTCAGCAACCTAAACGTTACAAGACACGTTACCAAAGTAGCACCAAGGTAATGTTCAAACATTTGGAAGCTTCGAAAAGGACAAGAAGAAAAATGTAGAGAAAAGGGCAAATAAAAAAAATTGGCGATGAGCTTAATGGAGGCAAGTATGGCTGTTTTTAAAGCCTCCCCACATTCAACTACTTTGTGAAAATATACTTTGCCCTCCACCCAATGTATAGTTTTCGACATCTCTCGCGCACTTCTCTATTGATACAAGAATGTTTCAAGGTATAGCATTAAATCATGCCGCCAAACATGCTATTAACGTTCAGCAAGATAAAGAAATTGCTGCTGCATTTAGTGTGTGCGAAACTCAACCTGTCACTGTCAACAGTATAATCAAACAATTGGGAGAATTTATCGTTGACCACTTCGATGGCACACCTTTCGAGACATACAAGAGCAAGTGGCTTACTTATATCCTTAATTATGTAAAATCACATTCTATTCCTTGTGCAAGTTGCATTGCAGTAATGCATGATGGCTCTATTAACGTTGATTTGCCAGGCAAACACTAAGCCAAATTGGAATCCCATTGCAAGCGCCATAATTGACAATTTGGTGGCTAACCCTCTCAAGCTCAAAGGAAAGGAGGCTCCTATTTTATCTGCGGTTACGGTTGCAACAAACTCTGCTGTCGCTAAAAACGTTGTCTGCTCTTCCGCTTCTTCTTCAACTTCACGTTCGACCTTTTCAACAATGTCAACCGTTGTATCACCTAGCAGCAAGGCATCCTCCGAAACCACCTCAATAAAGTTACATAAGATGACCGAACAGGACAAGCAAAAAGTGAATGAAATGTATGCCGGACTCGATAGAAAGAAGCTCTGGAAGTTGAAAACAGGAACAATTGTCGAAGACAAGATGAAGCAGCTTGCGTCAAGTCTGGATTACGAACAGTAAGGTTTTGCTTTGACTTTTATTGCTATTATTGTCATTCAAATATCTTCTTTAGTCCCAGCCACTCAATGATCTTGGATATTACTGATTCTTGCTGGACCAAAGTCTTCGAGCCTAATGAATGGCAAGAGATTCGCGACCACAAGACAGTTGAAATGCCAAGTATGCCTGAGGAAGTCAATCTATATTTCAGGGAATTGAGGGAAATTGCTGACGATGCGTTGTACAACAAGGTGGAGACTGATTATTTTCCCCTTGAATCCGATTGCAAATGAATTCAGAAACCTTATAGAGATACGTTCAGGCTCCTCAGATCTGGCTTCTTTCCTTTGCACAATCAGACGGAAGCTGATCTTGTTAAGAGGGTATGGTCTTGCTTAGGCTCATGCTTTGACTTTGGCAACTTGGAATGTATCAGGTTTGTATTTAGATTGGCATCTTGGTTACTAGCGGGTTTTGACCATTCAAATAGTGGGGAAAAGTCCAGTCGGGCATCTGCTGATGCTAGCAACTCGAGCCGTTCCCTGAGTGATCTCACTCGACAATCCACAGGTCGAAAGATGGATTACCTCTTTATCAGTAAGAAGATCGAGTACGAGCTTGGATATGGCGAGTGCGCTCTGATCAGTGGTGTCAATACAACCAAGGAACTGTATGACAGCTGTTTCTAGATGCCCAAGGTGATGAAGAATATGGCTATCAGTCTATTATCATCTCGTGCAAGCTTGCTTCATGATCTTGTCATTTCCGGCTACTACATTGGAGGTAAGTACTGCATCTGTATTTCTCTAAAGACTAGATTCGGTATTTATTTCAATTATGTAGAAGCGAAAATAGAGCTGAAGACCATGGATTTCCCTTGTGGCTAAGTTGCTCGTGTCGATTCTTTCGGTCCTGTCGCTTTCCTCAAAGTTGAAAGTGAGATGTGTCGTTCCTTGCCCGCTGTTCTACAGCTAATTCTGGCTGGTAAACTGTTGATGGAAACGTCAAAAATAGCAATTGAACAGTACAAAGATCAAGTAGTGGTTGATAAGAAAGGTATCACATCTGGTTGCATCATCCCAAACTTTACATCAGCTCCTACTGCTGCTGCTGCTGCTGCTGCTGCTGGCGCTAAAAGACGCAAAAAAAGCCTAGTTGGCAGTTCCTCTCAATTACCATAGGCATTGTTTAAGGGAATTATGCTTTTCTTTCTTTACATTGTTACGAAGACTCGAAAACCTCTCTTTCAATGATATTTTTCTCTTGTTTAGCCCTAGTTTAATTTATGTATACCCTTGCTTATTCATTTCTAAAATCAACTTTGCAAATTTATCCAGTAAATATATGGAAAGTCTCCTCTACGAGTCTCTGAGTGATGGTAGTGTTCCGCAGGGAAATAGAATACATGATCCCCTAGAACGGTGCTCAAATCAATAAGGCGAAAAATCCATTAGTGTCGGAAATGAACACTGCTTGGATCCCTTTCTCTCTCTCTCTCTCTCTCTCTCGCATGCAATTGCTTCTCCTAACACAATGGCATCAGAAGAAGGTTACATTGCAAACATCTCATGATTCCTTGGCCAATGCTGACCATGGCATGATTTGTAATCCAGGAGACTTTTTCTCTGGCTCTCTTTTTGCTCTTCCGTTTGGTTTTAACAGAAGCCAACATACAGGAACAGGTTTGCAATTGTGCTTGCTTTGCATGCTAGAGAGACTAGGACTAATAGACAATTCAGCAGCATTCCTTGAATTGTGCAATATTAACAGCATATATCACTGAGTCGGCCATTGGTTCATGAAGGAGACATGACGACTTATACATTGACGGCACAGAATTGTTGATCAAAGATGCAGATATCACGAAAGTAAGTATAATCTTGACATCAAATACGGCCTTTTTCGTAGATGAAAAAAAAATGGATCATCGCCATTCATCAACTGGCAGACAGAATGTCCCAAATCAGACAAATCCATATCAGAGAGATGAGCAAGAGTGATTGCGAGAACAGTATGTTCAAGAGAGCCATGTCAGCAGTGATACCACTTATGAGCTGCCAATCAACGAGACGCCAAAAAAGCATTATCAATATGGACGATCTCGTCTCTACAAATATGGATGATTTGATAGATACACAAAGCTTTTCCAATCATTGACTCATGGAGAGTTCGAAGCCGAGTCGGTTGAGCGTTATTCAAACTGCAGTGTACCGCCGAGTCAAGAAGAAGAGGTAACAAAAAATGGAGCTACTTTACTCGACAATGACATGCATTTCAAGATGGTCCATGGTGGTATTTACAAAGAGGCCTGTCAGCGCATGCATAAAAGATACGGAAAGCATAAGAAGCAAGGTGATTCGTATTCAAACAATGCTATGACATGCGCAAAGGTACTGATAACATTCAATAGTGACACATGAAAGTCAACAAAAGACGCTACAAAAGGGTGTACATGGATGCTATCATCATTGCGTGGGATCCCAGTTACAAAAGACCCGCCGTGAATTGGCACAGAGCACTGAAAGTGCATAGTAGTTGAGATTTCAGGTGAATCCAGGAAACAAACAATGTGTTGTTCTTGCAGGTGTTCAATGAGCCTTGCTGTGTGCCACGTACAAAGAGGACATTCAATCAAAGACAGGTGAGACAAACCTTGATTGTTGTTGAGCTGGATATATTTTTGCGATACGCACAGACAGATAGCGGCTTGCTCTTTCTTCTTTTTTATTTGCACACAACATGAGCACATCGACGGGTGCTTTGTTTTCCAACAAAAATCAGCTCAAACGTCGTCATAGAGAATATGATCTCGATGGGAGTGATACCACAGCCAAACATGTTGACAGCAAATACAGAAAGACGGATAAATCAGCTGTTCATTACAAACAAGATTGGTGTCTCTCTATCCTACTGACTGTGTGGACAGGCTACATCAGACTCTGGAAACTAGCACAGCCATCATCCGTAGTGTAATTATGATTTCATAGTTTTGCTTAATGGCCTTACCAACTAGAAACCATGATTAGGTTTGATGAGGTACATTTCGGTGGTTTCGCTGCAAAATACATCAATAGAGAATTTTTCATGGACGTTCATCCGCCTGTAAGTTGAATGAAATAGGACCAGCACATAGGTACTTACCGTATACACACAGTTGGCAAAGATGATGATTACCTGGGCTGCCATGGTCGCTGGGTTTGACGGTAAATTTGATTTCAAAGGCATTGGATCGTAAGTAACAGAACGGTGGTGGTACAAACATGCTGAAAACATTGACACTCGGATAGCGACTATCTTGAACCTAAAGTGCCTTATGTGCAGATTCGTGCATTCTGTGCATTGTACGGTATTTTGGTGGTTCCTATTGCTTACTGGACCATGCGCTCTTGTGGTTTTTCGATTCCTACTGCTGTATTGACCGCTCTGTTGCTTTGTTATGGTAAGAATGGTACGCTGCAAACAATTACTGAATATTCAGCTCTTTTATGTAGAGAATGGTCTAGTAACAAACAATCGATTAATTTTGCTGGATTCGATATTATTGTATTTCACTGCATTTACTATGCTCATGTGGTTCAACTTTGGCAAGCATCGAAAGGATGCCTTTTCTGTCTGGTGGTGGATTTGGCTCACAATGACCGGCGTGGGGTTAGGTGCCACTGTGAGTTGCAAATGGGTTGGATTACTGACAATTGCTACTATTGGCTTGGCTGTGATGCATGAATTGTGGAACATTTGGGGAGATGAAAAGGTGTCCAAGGTGGGTTTTTGAATTGCCCTCTTTCTCCTCTACTTCAAAAAAAAAACATGTTCCAACGCATTGATAATAGTGTACATTCGTCAAGCATCTCTTTGCTCGAGCCATTTGCCTGATTGTTATTCCATTGACCATCTATATTGGGCTATTCAAAGTTCATTTTGACATGCTACCTTTATCAGGAAAAGGCGACGCTGCCATGTCTTCTGAATTCCAGACTTCCTTGACAGGATATAGGTTTCCTAAATCAACCCAAGCAGGTAATTCGCACTATTTAGCAAGCAACATGAATTTCCAGCTAAAAAAAAATCCCCCATTGTAGATGTCTTGTACGGCTCCAAGATCACCATGAATCATTTGGCCTATCGCGGTGGATACTTGCATTCTCATGAACATCAATATCCTGGTGGAAGTAAACGTGAGTTGTCAGTGTTCTTTTTCTTTTATATATATATGCATATTCAACATGCACTGTTACAGAGCAACAAGTTACCGTCTACTCTCATGTTGATGAGCAAAACGAATGGATTATTGAAAAGGTGGATACAGCCAACTTTTCAGCCCCTGAATTTGTAAAGAATGGCGACATCGTTCGCCTTTTGCATGCAAAAACGCATAGACGTCTTCATACGCACAATATTCGCCCCATGACCAACGATAAAAAGTATCAATACGAAGTGAGGTAGGTAACCGGTTGTCTGCGTGCATAGCATCGTCTATATCCATTTCGCTTCATTAGTGCCTATGGTTTCCAGGGATTTGAAGGAGATAGCAACGACAACTGGCGGGTGGAAATCATCTACAGCGGATCTGACGCTGCTGCTGGAGATCGTCTTCGGGCTCGTCGCTCTCAGTTCAGGCTGATATCTACGACTCAACATTGTGCTCTCTACTCGCGCAAATACAAGCTGCCTGACTGGGCCTATGGTCAACAAGAGGTTACTTGTATGAAGGACGCTCTCTACCCAAGATCTCTTTGGAGAATCGAAACATCCCAAAGCAGCCTCTGTAAGTCATTATGTCCTGTAGAGTTTATAATGCTAACCTGTCTTATAGTACCTGAAAACACTGAAATGATTGAATACGAGACCAAGAGCTTCTTGTCCAAGGTTTGGGAGTTGAACAAGGTCATGTGGAGAGTCAATGCTGGCTTGTCAGCAAGCCATAAATTTGCCTCTCGACCCAAGGTAATGAATGCACTTGTGACGAACAAGACATGCCACTAAAATGCTCAATAGGATTGGCCTATGCTTCGTCGTGGCATCAGTTTCTGGACGAAAAACAACCGCAAAATCTACTTGCTGGGTAATCCTCTTGTATTTTGGGGCTCTACCTTCTGTGTGGTGGCCTATGTCGCACTGAAATGTATCCTCTGGATTCTCGAAAAGCGTCAAATGTCTGTGGATTTCTTTGGTGGTCAGTGGCCTAAATACGATGCTGCCGCAAGCTTGCTGTTTGTCTCTTGGGCAATGCACTACTTTCCGTTCAATTTGTTTGGCCGTCAACTCTTTCTCCATCATTATATGCCTGCTCTCTATATGGCTGTGTTGCTCATGGGCGTCTTCTTTGAGATGCTTACTCGCAAGGCATCGGCCAAGGTTCGTTGGGCTTTGGTTGTGATGATCACTTTCGCTATCATTTACGTCTATCGCATCTTTCTACCCATCACGTATGGTGAACCTTGGTCGACAAGCAAGTGTTTAGAGGCTACATGGCGTCCTACATGGGACATGAGCTGCCAATGGTATGACCCCAAACCTAAAAAGACAATAACAGCAGCAGTCAAGCCAAAGCCAAAGCCAAAGCCAAAGCCAACAGAAACAGCCAGTGCAGAGCAACAGGACATGGCTGTTGAAATTCCCAATGTTGCTGACAATGTGGAGCATCAAGATCAAGTGCGCTCTCCTGCTGGCGCCATCAAGAAGGCTTCTGTTAATAATAAAATGGATGTTTCTTCTGACAAGATGGGCACTGTAGATCCCAAGTTGAACACACCAGCTACATCAAACAAAAAGGCTTTGAGCGATTTAGATTAGAAAGCATCATTTCATTTCTTACACATTTTACCATTTTGAATAAACCAGATTCATATCCTCTCAATAAATTAACTAGAATGTTCTGGTGGATCTTGACCTAAGCACAACTATGTTCATCATGTAAAGAGACACTAGTGTCAATGCCACACGGTGCTATATCTGATCTGATTGACATGTGAAGGTACAGTGTGGTGTATCCGAACCGGACCATTATATTTCCGATATATGACCATCCCAGGATTTTCCTAGTTTGACCCTTTTTCTCTTTTCACATCAATCCAATGAAGCATTCGCAGCAAAAACCATGGCTTAGAAAGAAACAGCAAGTATATTCAGATGGAGGAGGACAAGCACAGCATAAAGATCGATTTGTTGATCTGGCGCAGGCAGCGCTGGAAGAAGCGAATTTAGAAGAGGAGCGGAAAGGTGTGATACACGAAGTGATGGAGGCACTGATAGCAAAAACAGGAGCACCGCTTGTTGCCGAGGTGATATCAGAACAGTTACGTAGTCAGGATGTCATTGAGAGGATAGCCGAGCATCATGAAGAGGATCGTCGACGTATCAATTCCAGTCCACATATGACACGAGTGGATTCAACAGATAGCGTGAATTCATTAAAAGCGCCTGATGACGAGGAATTAGAGCAAAAGGACGAGAAATTAAATCAGAGGGTAGAGGATGATCGGCCAGACACTTGGGTGCTGTTTGCAGAGTATCTATGGCGGTTCTTTCGAGTTTTATTGCTGGCTAGCCTCGTAGGACTTGTATACCATTTCTTAAATGTATGATTTTCTAATTACACAGAGATTAAAAAAAGGACTACAGATGATACCAAGATGTATATATATACATGGTGGCTTGATTACCATTTTGATACAGGCAACCGACATATTTTATTTGGCAGACTGATGATTGGGGGGAGGAAGAGGAGCAGGGTCAGGATGAAGGGGTGCTGGGGGAAGGGTTTGCGAAGAGTGATTACTGGTATCGTCCACTGTAGTTTGCTGTTGCTCTCTTTGCTGTTGCAATAGTGCCTGCTGTTGCTTTTTGATCCTTTCGACTTCTTCAGGTGGATATTGTGGATCATGGTCCCCATATTTCATCAGATAGTTTTTTTCTCTCTTAAAGAGCAAAATGTGAGGTTCAGGTTTGTAAATCATATAGTGCTCCCAGCCTGATGATTGATGTACACCCACTTCAATCCACTCTTCCTTCTTCAGCAATCGATTCTGCGGCAGCCATCTTGCCAAATTTACGGGCAAGACAACATGTCTATACTCAAACTCGTCATCTTGGTAGTAGAGTGAATACATGATTTGTGATGGCAGCTCTTTAATGTCTTTTTGTCGCTGCAACTGTTCCAGCTTCAGTTCCTCTTCTGATTTGGGCTGCTGCTGCTGTAGTCCAAGCCGGCTTCGTTTAATGTACTTTTTCTTGATCAGTAGTTTACGGCCTCTCGCTTGGATCTCTTTGATTTCCTCGATTGTTTTGGGCATTAAATTGTTGTACTCTTTCAAATTGGTTCCTTCATTCTTTGCCAATGTGTTACTGTTGGTTGGCTTTGCAGCTGATGGCGCTTGTGTAGTGGCCTTTGTGTCGTGCAATTGAGGGTTGTTTTCGTCGTTGCTCATGCTAAATGTAATGATAAATATCAAGTGGAAGGGAAGAAAGAGCGAAAAATTAGCCCACAGTTGCAAACCCAAGTTTTTAAGCAGTCCATTGGCATGATTGGGAAGTATTTTACGCGTTTTAGTGAGGCGTCTGATGTGGCAGACCAAAACAAAACTCGACTCGACTCGTTGTGATATTCTAGATCATTTGCCTCTGAATCCTATTTCACAGAAAAAAATGCGTGCCAAGACAGATGACAGTGTTACAAATCAAATCATGATGATTCAATGTGCAGATGTTTAGATGCAGTCGCACTGGATGAGTTTACCACATAGTAATACCACATAGTAATGCCACATAGTAATAGAATACCGTTATCCATGAACATTGGCGCTCTATGGACACTACTACAAGGTATGCTAACAACGTATTGCAAATAAACTAAGGCTCTACCCCCCCTTTACGTATTGCATACATTAATCCCATCTCTACAATAAGGGATCGGAAGATCGACAGATATGGTAATCCAGTTTCGTGGCGTGTTTGTGAGGCTACCCCCCAAATGCTACTAGATCCATGCCAACTCGAACTTTAAAATGCTGCAAGCCCAGCCTTTTTGCAACGCATATCACACTCTACAGAGATTGCCTTTGATTGACATTATTGCCACTGTACAAAATCTCCTTTATTCTGCTTTGATATGTGGCGAGTGGATTACTTGTTCTCTTTTCATATAAATACACATGTAAAAAAAACTGGATCCCTCACTCTCTCTCTCTCTCTCTCTCTCTCTCTCTCTCTCTACTCTTTCCCCTCTCTTTTTGATTAAACAACACATACACACACGCATTTGGTACACTCCATCAATTTTAACTGATCTGTCAAAAAATAAATTCATGAATATCTTCCCTCTTTCTTACTCTTCATTGAATCAACTTTTTGTCAAATCAACTAGTGATTTAACTTGGATACAACAGGCAATGTCACTCAACACCATGAACAGCTCCAAAAAGCGCAAATACAGCCAGGATCAGGAAACATACAATGCCATTGACAAGTTCCAGAATGACCTGGATCACTTGTTCTACGAGTGGAATGCCATCCACATTGTGCTCGAATCTATCAGAAACGCATTCACAGTCAATCAAGACTCGTCGTCTGAAGAGTATTTGGATCAGGTTGATAAGGAATTGGGCATTGCGTACGATGATCTAATGGCTCAAGTTAGACATTTGGATCGAAGATTGAACAAGATGACATTGGAGGTACATCAAAAGCTACTTCAACAACCGCCACAGCAGCCTCCTCCAACGCCTACTCCATCAATCAATCACAAGTAAAGCTCTCCTCCCCCCTTATTTTATTTGCCGTACACAAGTAGGCTACCTACACTCCTTACACTGTAATTTTCATGTCCTATTTTATACATATTATCCTCTTTTTGTATATGCCATCTTTTATCTATGAATATTGTCTATGACTGATATGGCTTTTTTTTTTCTTTTGGGTCACGCCTATGCTGTTTATAATTGATTAAATACATATATATATATATATATATATATATACTCATGTATTGACAGTTTGATTGGTATACAATATGTGTGCAGTGTAATGTAATGTATGCCATCTTACCAATGACAGGAGAGGAAATGTTATGCCATGTATATGATCTGTCCATAGAGCTTGTAAGGCGCAAAATGATGAAATGTAGTGCTAGATACACATACAATTATACAGTTCTAGAGATCGTCGTTTGGTTTGCAATTGCAATCTCGGTCTAAACAACGGATCTTTTTAGAAATACATCGGCCCACTTTGAGAATAAAAGATCTCATATTCCACCTGAGGGCCCGTAGATATGCAGCTGTGTACATATGACGTTGATGAGATTTGTTATAAATCGAAAAGGCTGCTTTTGCAATGAGAGGATGTCTTCTTCTTCTACTTATATTGCTGGATAAAATGGAGTCCTCAACCGTCTTTGATAGCAGACGAAAGTCATCTAGTACTACAATTGTTCCACCTGCTCATTCAAAGTACAATGCAAGAAAAGCGTCTCTCATCCCATTAAAGATAAACACTGCTGGTGCGAATAATCTCTTTTACGATACTGGCAGCATGGCTGAAATATCACCTATTACAGTAGTGTCTTTCAAAGAAGCAACACAAGATCAGCATCCAAAACCATCCTGGATCCACACGCTAAAGGACAAGCTGAAGCTGAAAAAAACAAAGACAAAAAATAACAGCCAACTTGAGGACAAGCAACACCCAGAAAAGCAACATCGACAACATTCCCATCAGAGTAGTAGAATTGTTCGTCATTCTTACAGCGATCCGCGACTCTCGCCTGGCTCTACCGCTGTGGGAGATGACGATGATGAAGAGCAACAAGGATATTTCAGTGCAGTGCCTACCAAGAAAACCAAAAGATCGCCTCGTGGTTGGGTTTCTGCTGTGCTCATGATTGTCTTTGGTGCATTAATTGCTGTTACATTCGTCTTGGTAGGTCTAGGAAAAGCGCTCGGTGGTAGCAGTAATGTAGCTAGCGTGCAAAGTAATTCCACAACAACAACGAGTAATGCAACAAGCACAACCGCAACCGTAACAGATCAAAATAAGAGCATGCATTTACCCACTGCACCTGTGTTTAATACTGAAGCAACTGTAACAGTGACAAAAGCCATTGCCTTCGTTCATAAAGTTATTAAACCAACTGCCATCTCAACCTGAACACTTTAAATTTAATGTATCATATATACTTTTAATAACATAAATAATACTAGTATCTCTACACTACATACGGTCTTCAAGTCGGTACCTGAGTGGATGATGCTGTCAATTGAAACCGGTATTTTGTACGGTTGAATCTCAAGTATCCCATTGACATCATTCCATACTATCTGCACACTAGAGAGCATATGCTATTATTCAGCATCTATTGATTTTAAGGTTTGGATGGACATGTCATTACAATAGGGAATAGTGAAATACTCATATCAATTGCAATCATTCCTACATCATTGATGAAAATGGTGTCTTGATTCCTAGTTTGGATCTTGGCATGAGAACACAACAAATAGAAATACCGGATAAAGGTTTAAATGTTTCTTTGTATTCTCCTTTTAAGTACATGTGTCAGAATAAACAGACCCTCCTCCTTCTCCTCCTTCTCCTCCCCCCAGGATGGAAATACTCCGTATGCCCCTTTATAGAGAATGCCTCTTTTACTAATCGAGCGCATAAATGATTAGACACTGTTGTTTACCCTTGGCATATGTAGGTAGTACATCTGTTGTTGATTTTTTGCCGAGAGATCCCTACGATGAAACATTGTTTGTCAAGTTGATATGGTACTCTATGGTTGTCATGGCAACCTATCATGATTTGTTTGGCCACTATTTCGAAAACGATCTGGATAGGCAATACAGTTTATGCCAATGAGCCTATCAAGGATGAAAAATGAGTTCATAATGGATAACAAATTCACTAAACCGAAACGATCTGCAGATCCGAGAAATTGATTAAAATTTACTAAAATTGTATAGTATTCCCTTAAAAACACATTGCAAACGTAATAAAAAGTGCCCTTGTTGACTTCATTCAAGGAAATGATCTGCATAAAAATAAAAAGTGGACTCGGGAGTATTTGGTTACCCCTTCTAGGTCGGACTAAAAAGGAGTGGGGGCCAAGAAATAATGCCTTAAAATGTATGCTTCTAATAAACATATCTACAACCTCGTTTCGAAATCTTCACTGTTGCATCCCAAATATTGGGAGCAAAGAAACATGTTTAAGTCAAAATAGAGACTTTCAAATTAAACTAGACATAAAAACTAAAGACTATCTGTACTTAACTATCGTTACCGCCAGATCAATCAATGAGTGGTAAGCTAAATTCCAGAAATTAGTCAACTGTTGCTCCACTTGTATACTACAGCCCACTGTCCCAGATCAGTAAGGCGTTCCCAGGTATCTTGCAACAACTGGTACCATGATCCGAACACCATATAGCCCTAGGGACATAACACTCACTTGCAATCCAATCAGTCAAAATTTGTTTTTATAAGGAAACAGTATAGTCGTGAAAATGGACTGTATATATCACATTCCTCCCCTTTACGTAGAGATTGCGACCTGTCTATCGACAAGGTCATTTGCAATATTTGGAAAACATTCCTATTCGCAAAGGCTGGGCTGTGTTTCGAGACTACGTACAATGTGTGATGGCTATATGTTACAAGTTGGCACGACTGACGATAGGGGATGCCACCACTGCTACTTTGATTGCTCACTCATTGGCTTCTGCGCTCAGAGCCTTTTCCATAAAAAAGCTCTCATTGGAGCAATGTCAACTGGATCAACAAGACTCAAGAAAATTGCCACTGCATATTCTTTTGTTGAAACACCTTGATTTGATCAATTGTGAATTTACTCATAGTACATCATGCACAGTAGAGATTGATAACTATCCATTTTGTTTGACATCTTGGCTTACAGAATATTTGGATTACCTCTTACTACTCAATAATATGCAAAATAAAGCAAAAATTGGATGCATTTGAGCCGTGTTTTCTCGCGTTACAGGCGGTTTTAGACTGCCAGAATAGCGCCAAACAATCAGTCTGGACTAGCACTTGCTCACTGATACATTTGCTCAACTTTTTGACCAAAAAGCATAAGGTACCCCTCATAGTTTTCATCAAAAATCAAATGATCGCACTTTTGACACTGAAAATGAAGACTTTTACTATGTTATGATATTAATTCAAAATGATTCTATCAATCCAAAGTAATCCCTGAAAGCTCGATTCACTACGGCCCAAGGCGACCCTAAATTTAGGGAAAAAATCCCTACTAATGGAAAAATCACTTCCCTGAATTTGCAAATATAGGGAATTTTTTCTCTAAATTCAGGGAAATTTAAAGTATGGAAGATAGCATAAATTTAGAGATCCAGTATTTTAGGGAAATAACCTTTATATTATGGTACGGTTACGTGAAATTTCAGTTGTATTATTGGGTATTTGGGTAAAATATTGCAGTTTATTACAATCAAATTTCGATAAAAATTCTTCAAAACTATACTATCTCGTATTTCACACAAACCAAAAAATACATACATTGCAGGTGGCAGCCTCGAACTTTGGGAGATCATCCTTTGAGTATCTAGGATAACGATTGTTAAAATAGAACTTTGTAATCTACATACTTATTGATTTTGAGTTCTTCGTCGAGCAACGCTTTGATTTCCTCTATTCGATCTTCTTAGTCTCTTTTCCCTATGCGATGTTGCCTCAACTTGGAGGGAGTTTTCTATGACCTCCAAGGAAGAACCGAGAGAACCGTCATCAAAGATCTCGCCTTCATGACCTATGTAAGTGATTTACCGTAATAATATTAGTAACAGGCTCTGATGAATTACTTGCTGTACCAGTTTTGCTATATCAATTGAGTGTTTGATACAGTACTGCTATCCAAAGATTGTGTGATGGCGCCAAGGGATAAACTGTTCATTTGGAGCAAAGTTTTTGGCGATTGCAAGTCATCTTCGACATAAAAAGAGTCTTCAGTGATATCAATGCCTGTGTTCTGTAGTAATAACGAAGAAGGACCGGCAGAGCAAGGCTTGAAAGTTAATGGAAAGAAAAAGAAAGAGAAGTAAAAAAAAATGAACAATCTATGTATTTATTGTTGTTTCTAGAATGTGCAACATTTATCGTTGGCTACGCTGCTAAAGGCAAGCTGAACTGTAATTTTATATCTATCCAAAACATTCCATGAAAACATTCCAAGTACTGTAAAACATGTCAACTTCTAACGCTTATTACTGTAACTACTGCAAAGTCTACATTAGTGCCAGTCTTAAACAGCTTTGAATCACCAACTTAATTGCCTCGAAAACAAATCAACAGAAGAGTCTTTGGATGAATGTGGTGTGCCAATTGAGAAGGAGCATCATCCAGGTAATACTCGTTACGCTGTATTTGATGTTCAAGACATTCTTCAAGATGTAGGGCTCGTTGAATACAAAGAGGATCTTCAAGGCTCATACAATGTCATCTGGCCATATGCTGTCTTTTGTAGAAACCTTCCAATGCCGCTTGGTAAGCCCAGTGACATCTTGGATAGATCCAGCAGGTAATTCGAGTTGTCGACTTGAAGGTAAAAAGTTTCATCTTTTGCTTTTCTTTTTAATTTGTGAAGTCCAAATTCTATTGCAGTTTGTTAGTTTTTTTTCCCCTACTCAATAAAGTTTCTATCCATTTATTAAGGTAAAGTTCCATAATATTAGAGACACCATAAATTTAGGGATAATTTCCCTACGATTCCCTTCTGAATTTTAACTCAAGATTTTATTACCCCATAAAATAATGGTTTTTTCCCTGAATTTATGGCATTCCCTATAGTTATGGAAACTTCCCTAAAAATATGATAGCTTTCCCTGAATTTGAGGTTTTTTTCCCTAAATTTAAGTTGCCTTGGGCCGTAGTGAATATTGTGAATCCTTTATATGGAAATTTGTGGCATTTTTTGCAGAAAACGTCATTTCATATTTTTAAACATTACTTAATAAGTCTTTTCAAACCATGTACTGTAATTAGAACCATTAGAAGCGCCTTGAAAAGTACATCAGGGAAGCATAAGGGAATATGAGATGACTATCACGTTTTCTATAGTCAAATTTTTCAAAATAGATTAATAAAGTCGAAATTAATCAAAATTTGGCCAATCTTGAGCAGAAGCATACCGAAGTTAAACTATATGTGAATGCTGCTTATGTTGTTTCTCTCATCACACACTATTTTTCTCTGCCTATCTCAATATCTGTATTCGTCAGCTAGCGACCAAGAAGCGCCAATAGAATAAAATAAAATGGGTATATCCAAGCAAGAAATAAGCAAGGAGTATTGATCAAAGACGAAAGGAGCTACGCCAAGATTAAGCAGTAAACACCCAAAGACATTGCTTGCAGACGCTCAATGATGCGTCGACAATGTTCAAACTCTTACTGCCAAATCGTTCGCAAGACAGTTCCAGTATTCATCCTCCCACAGTTGTCATACGCGGATCAGAGATATCGTTGTCGAACATATTCGAGAAGACTCCAAGAAACGCACTAGTCAAAGCAGACGCAACACTTCAAAAGCAGCTAATAACCTTCTGATTACCAACCCTGCTCGCATTGCTTTAAGACTATTAATTTAATCCCGTTCCTCCTTAACTATTTTCGAGGAAACCAGACATCAGGAAGCAATCGTAAGGCCTAATTGGAATATAGTAAGAGGCCGTCATTGATGATCTCTACGACCAGGATGAAACCCGACAACAGTATTACTCTTTCTCACTCGCCCTCCAACAGTCCATCTCATTTAGACAACAAAAGAAATTCAGTAGTGGGTCTGTTTCTTGAGGGTCGAAAACGACAATTGATAGAATATATGGCAAGATGCGTTAACCAAGTGGAGGCAGCCTATGCAAGGAGCTCTATGGAGAACAGAACACAGTCTATTACCAAGGAGGAGAAGATTGATCTACCTGTCGACAGACGGCACGGCTATAATGCTGACAGCATTCTTCGATTGTCAAATGCAGGTATGGAGATATTTGTCTCTGAGGTCAGCTCAAGATACGGTACAGAAGAAAAAGATAGGCATGCGATAGATCATTCCAGGGGAATGTTTGCACAACTATCAATGTTAGAGGCAATTGCCGACAAGTATGAATACGCTACAGTAGAAGCCTTGCTCAAACAGAAAGCACTCTTCCCAAAAGCATACAATCGATGTGCGTGTGTGGCCAATGAAAGCTGTGGATAATAATTTACATTGCCTGTACAAAAAATAGCCATCTCGCATGACATTCCTCTAACTAATACATGCTTTACCATGAATCATTTTCTTTATTTGAAAAACCAGTAATAAAAGAAAAAGACTATGAATACCACAAATAGAGTCAAGCAGCACCACATTGTTCCTGATTCTTTCGAGGCCATCACCTTGAAATTGTCCATGGTCTTTCCAAGCACTGATCCAGTATTCGAGAATTGGTCATTCTACACACCGAGACAGGCTTCTGTAAGCATCTCTCGCCAAATCCAGCCTCTATTCCACTTACCATTTGATCAATGAAGCTATTTCCAGATCGAATCTCTTCTCCAATTTTACCGGTAATCTATCTATTGATGTCAACACCACACACTCTTCTAACCCGAGCCGCATCTTACGTTTTTCAAAATATTCACTTTGGCAGATAATCCAGATATTTCGTCGTCATTCTGGCTCTCCAAGTAGTTTAAATCTCTATCATTCATGTCCAATGCCACTGACTGTTGGCCTTCCCCGTAGGCAGAGGGAGACGGTGTACGTGTATCATTATATTGCTGTGCTCCCGCGAATAAGGATGATCTGTTATGTAAATTTTGATAGCTTCTACACTAGGCATGAGCAACAGTATTCACTTGCTATCTTGTTACTGTTAAGCACCTTACACTGCTTCTATTTCCAAATTGTCTCGACATGATTTGTATAAGGATAAAGAAAGAGACGTAAATTTTATTTAAATGGAAATAATAAAAAGGGAGAGAGGTGGTGTTTATAGTGGTGTTACAAGGCTTTGAGTGGTTTGAATCTGAAGGCACATGTGTCTGTCTCTGTGGACCACATCTTGACCCAATCAATCGCCATTGCACGCTTATTGCCTTTGCCCCACGTAGGCAGCCACTTTTTCTTTGCATTGTAAAACGCATTGGGAGCATGAGGATCGTCATTCTGCCATGGTTTGCTCTCATCTTCAGGCCAGTAGCCATTGACACCACCCACAGCTAGATTCATAATCAAGTAAAACTCTTGGTCAAAGGGCGCAGAGATGTCGCCGCCCTTCCAAGGGTTCATGGTTGGCTTGGTAAACTCACCACGCTGCCAGGATGTCTTGTCAAAGTCCACTTGCAGAATGGTATCATTGTCCACGTAGGTTCTTAGGCCTTCCTTGGTCCATTCCAAGCCATACGTATGAAAGTCGTCTGCCCAGGTGCTTCCTCGCTTGGCTATTAGTTGCTCGGTAGTCAACAGGTACTTGTTTTGATATGTGTTGGGGCCCCAATGCAAGGTAGACATGATGGTAGATGTGTTGCCATGCGCATAATTGGGGTTGCCCTTTGATTCAAGCTAGTAAGAGTTAGTAGTTAATAAGTCGTGTATATTTCAATCTTGCCCAATGTTTATATTTACAATATCAATCTCGCCTAACAAACGTATATATTACTATTAGTGATTTTGTCACGCATTTGAGCCTTCATTCCTTACCACTCGCAGGCCAGCTACCATAAGCAGAATACTTGGGCAGCATCCAAATGGCAGGCCTATCAACATACGTGCGTTATGTTGGTGACTCACACATACATGTCCTAGAAATCGACTTACCATAGCCAGTCTCCAGTGGGTAATCTTGCCCTCACTTCTACCTTACCATACTTGAGGGTCACCGAGTCAATCGTTCTGATTCTTGCAGACTGAATAGGGTTGATATAGTTACCATCTGCTGCAGCGCCTGATGTTCTTTCACAGCCTACATGTGCCGGTTGTGTTGGTTTAGTTTGTATGCATACAAAAAAAAAAGCTGTGCTTACCATAATTTGAGTTGTCTAAAGGGGGATATGTGAGCAACTCATTGTAAATTATCAAGTACATCAACGTTATACATACCTGTGCAATCCTCAGAGGGAGCTCCTGAATACAGATTCATGCGACCGCCATTCTTGAGCGCTTCTTCACCAATGGTGGCAGATGTCATGGTTGGCTTCAAGTACAGGATACCATCTTCAACAAAACTGTTGGATCTGTTGTTGGTATAGTATTGGAATTCCCAGTTGCCACCTTGTAAATATAATGGTCAGAATACTTGGCCATTGATTATTGACTCTATGATACTCACCTCCACTAAGACTGATTTCATGCTGCCAATTCTTTAAATCAAAGGTATTGAAATGGTCCTCAAAGACAAGGCAATAGTTGTCGTCTGAACCGAGCACTTGAGCTGCAGTAAGGTTTGGATTGCCATCTGCCGCTGATGGTATTGATGCTGCTGTTGAAGATCGCAGAGTGTCATCGAAACGATACTCGAAACCATAGGCGGATGTGGCAAGAGCAGCGATTAAAATACAGTAGGACGAATGGATAAACATGTTTGCTTCTAAGAAAAAGAGAAATCAATGAAAGCGATTCCATCTTATATGAAATGTGTTGTTTATTCATTCCTTCCAACTCGAGCTGTGCAATACAAATAAACAGTATGCTCCATATAAACATCGTTGGCGGGTATACATCTAGTCCAACGAATGCGCCAACAATGGCGGCATGTAGTAATTTAAGCAGTGCTTGATCCTCAAATGTCTATCGCTACAGAATGCACCCTGATGAAGCCACGTCTAGTAACCAGATTGACCTTAGTTGAGCATAATCCACGAGTCTAGAACTGCTGGCATTCTTGATGATAAACATTATAGAAGCAATAGAAACGTGCAACTGTTTGACAAAGCAGGCCGTTCATTATATAGTTCAGATGGCGTCAGTTGATGGCTCGTATCTAAACATGGTAGAGTGTAACCTACAAGCGTTATTTGAAATCTAGTGCTGATGTACTGATGATCCATTGAACCAAGCAGAGCATCATGAATACCGTGCTTGCAAGAAACGCTCCTTCTATATATATATATTTCCCGATCGCTCGCTGGTTGTCATGGATACCTATACAAGCACTGTGAAACATGTCGTATACATGAATCCATAGCATGATGACATTAAGAAAGAAAGAAAGCAAAGCACGAGTTTAATCAATAAATGATGTGCATTGATCGAGTTTCACCCGAGCACTTTTTTTTTTTCATGTTTTTTCCTCCAGACCATCCATGATTGGGATTTGTTCTTGTCGCTATCTTGGGGGTTTTTTACAACAAATTTTCGCAAGATTTCCTCTTTTGCTCTCTTTTCCGAATTCACTTGCTTTTTATCAACAGTTTTGGTATGTATAACAACCCTCACATGGTTTCGTAATTGATGGTACGACCATGCGTTCAACGTTATGGATCGGATATCAATTTTGAAATGGAGAAAGAGAACAATAACTTTTAACTAACCGCTCTCTCTCTCTCGCTCTCTCTTTCTTTCTTTCTCTTTCATTCACTATAAAACAATGATAGTGAACAGAGCAGGCTCATTCAATTGAATCAAGCATATTTATATGTAGGCATATCTGTTAGCCTCAAGGTCTTTTCAGTCATTGACCATTTCAATTAGATACAGCATACAAGCACTTGTATATACAGGAAACAATAACGAATCAGTGGCCATGTCACAAGGTAAGCATTTGCACTCATCACCTCGAAATTGGCACAGACATGTAGAAATTTAATTTTAAAAAATTTAAGGTTTCGATTTACCGACTACAACATCCACAGCATCCACATCTGACATACCAACACGGATAGAGAACAAATGGATCCCTCAGGCTTCAACTAATCTGCTAAAACCACCACAAATCATTGAATACGGTCCACTGCAAGGACAGGCCGGAGACAGCTTCCACGTTGATCTCAACTCACACAATTTAGATGCCAACACACTCAGAATTGCGTTTAATTCTTGTTTCACAACATGTCATTGCACACTAAATACGGTTACTCAAATCATCACACTTCATACGACTGTACCGAGTGCTACAATGGTCGCCTGCAATGACATGTCAAGAATACCTATTTATATAGCGGTTGTACAAGACGAGAAAATACTCGACAGTTGGTTCATCGGCTACTTTAGTTACCACTTGACGAGAAAAAGAGCTTCAACTGAATTCAGCCCCATTGACCTGCATGCTGTCAACGAAGAGTCAAAGCGGCCGAGATCAGGTCCATTCAGTAGTATGGGATATCCAGCTGCTGCTAATGCTACATCGTCTTCACCTTCTCCTCAGCAACAATCAAGCTACTATTCGCTCTCTGCGCAACAACAGCAACAACAACAACAACAACAACAGCAGCAGCAGCAGCAGCAGCAGCAGCAGCAGCAGCATGCGCCCTATGTGGGTCTACCTCCTACACAACCATCTCCAAGACAACAGAGAGAATTTTATGATGATCCATCCATGTACAGCAGCTCCACTAGTACCAATTCCAATGTGGCTGCTGCCGTGGCTGCTGCTGCGGGTGTCTATAATACATCAACGGCCACTGATCCAAATCAATTCCAGTCCTACAATCCCAATTACCCTCCTCTTTCGCAACAACCACAAGAAAGTTATATGATGCCAATCATGAGTTCCATGTCGCAACCAGCTTCTGCTCCTCCGCAACCACAGCCATCACAGTCTGCTCCTCCTCCTTCCATGTCCATCACTACGACAACAGCAACAGTGCCACCCATTCAAATGAAGCCTACCATGCCATTACCTATATCGACTACACCCATTATGTCTCATAGTGCTGTCATGGTGCCCACAGCCTCCTCTGCAGCAGCAGCAGCAGCAGCACAGAAAACATCGCCTACCAGTAATCCTTTTGCCAATCTATTGAACAAGGCAAATCTAATCATTGAAGGCGATTTAGCAGATGTGTTGAAAGATTGGTCATCTGAAGAATGGGAGAACCAGCGTCGATTAATCCAGTTCTATCGAAAGCAGGAGGGCAATAAGGTGACATGTCGTTTTGAAACGTTCCATCTACCAGCAGAAAAGTCCAAGCAGCCTGACATGAACAAGATCATTGTGGTTTCTTGCATCTACTGGAAAGAAAAGAACGAGTATTTTGTCACATCGGTGGATTGTATTTATCTGTTGGAGCATCTGATTGGCGTCAAATTCACAGTGGAAGAAAAGAACCGCATTAGAAGAAACTTGGAGGGATACAAGCCATTGACAGTGAGCAAGCTGAAGCCAGAGTCTGCTGAATTTTTCAAGCTGATCATGGGATTTCCTAATCCAAAGCCGAGAAACATTGAAAAGGACGTCAAGGTGTTTCCGTGGACAACGCTGGGCACAGCGCTGAAAAAGATCATTAGTAAATACACTGCCAGTTACAGCAGCACAGCCAGCGTCAACTACGATTTACTGAATACTGCGGACAGCTAACCTCCATTCTGTTACAAACAACAACAATACAACAACGTACATATTACAATTTCTTTATTTACATACAAATTACTACCTACACCTATATACATACTACAATGCTAATACGTAATAACTACCTTGATTAAACTATGTTACAAACACATTATTTACAACCATATAAGAGGAAATCAGTCGTTTGATTTGCGTCAGATACGGCGCATGCGACGCAAATGCGTAATCAGACTCTTTTCCTATGCTGCTCAGCTTGTTGAACAGCACATGGCTCAGTTCATTGAGATTCTCACTGGCACGTTGTTTGACAGGCACATTGGCTGAACAAGACAGCATTCTCAGTATATCCAGACACATGGTAATCCAGTGCAACTCGATCGCACACGGCATCACCGCAAACAGGGTCTTGAATATCTTGCTGGCTGCATCAGAGCAGATGGATGTGATAATGAGCGCTCTGTCGCCATCAATCCTAGAAAAGGCGGCTGCTGTCAAGTCCGTTTCATTTGGCTTTTGCATGGTGCGAGACTGGAAGTTCATCCAGTAGATGTAGAACACGAGGTTGAATCGAAGCACGCTGACATTGTCGCACGCTTCCACACACTTGGGATCAATCAATCGATAGGGGCCTGACCCCAGTCGCAGTGGCTCGGGTATGCTGTCCCATAGTTGCATCAATGTGTATTCCAGGCACTGAATGATATGAGAAGGCACTGCATCAATCACGCCCGCCATCAGTCGAAGGCCCAAGATCTCTGTGTCAGTGCCAGCTGAATGTGTGGTGAGTCGAGATACGTACTGATAGCATAGCGCGGCTTTGGTCAGACGGTCGTCCAGCACTTCGCAGGGCAACAAGGACGGCAGGGCAACGTCCAAATGATGCGCAATGTTGGAGAAATCAGTGACGCCATCGTAAGCCATGCTAAAGTTGAACTCTACGAATCGAGCAGCAAAGAACAGCCGTTTCCATACTTCTGCGTTGATCATGTTCTCCAAGGTATCAGGCAACGTGCGGTGCAAATACGTCGATTTTAGTTGAATCACAAGCTGCCAGCATAGGCTAGACTGTATTCGAGCTTCTTTGCCTTTCAACGTCAGTATGCTGATACCGCACATGACATACAGTGCGAGACAGGCATCAATAGAGGGTTCGCCATCAAACAATGCGTCTTGCAGCAGCTCTTTGGCTTCCAATCGGCAATATTCGGCAAACTGCACTCTGGAGAACGAGAATTCAGTTATTTCAATATGTGTACATGCTGAATAGGCGACATAGGATGCCACCACAGTAGCCAGCAGTCCATCTGGGTTTCTTTGCAGCTGTGGATAGTGCCATGTGTGAATAAAAATGGGTTTCAGTAACGCATAGCAGTTAAAGTACACTTTGATCATTTGCAATTTCAGGTATCGTATCTGCTTCTGTAAAATGGCTGGATCCACATGTTCGGGTAGGGGCGGCGGCGGAGGCTCTTGCTGTATGCTAAAGACAGATCGAAACGCTGCTTCCACTGCTAGTGATTTGTGGGTGACCGCGAGTAGTTGCTTAGGATTCCGTCTTTCTGAGAAATCTTGGTGGCCTGGTAGTTTATCGCCATAGATAAAGACAGAGAAGGCCTCCTTGATAAAAAAGGATAGATCAGACATGGATTGGATTGATGTTTGCAATTGAATTCCCCGATGATTATTGGATATGGTTAGTTGCCATGTGGAAGAAGATGATGTTGATGATGCTGATGGTGCTGTTGAATGTGTGAGTGGGAGTAGTGATTTTATGTGCTGACACTGAGAGGGGTCAAGACATTGACAAGGTATTGGGGAATTGCTGTTGGAGCTCTTTTGGAGCTGTGCTAATTGCAATTGTATCAAGTCTGCTTCCTGATTCAAGCACCAAATCGTATCAAACAGTTTGTTTCGTTTTGCTGGAGATATGCTTGTTTTAATTAACTTTGTTGGCTTCTCGGTCAGCTTGAATATACACTCCAAATTGAGTTTGCTACAGCGTTCACATATCGAATTATTCACATTGACACATTTCCTTCGATGTGTTCGACAATTTTCACCTAATGTTTCAATGTTAGTGTTCGTCAAGCACGCCCTTTTCCTTCCAATTCATCTTACATGGCTTATTTCTCTTTTGTCTAGTGCTGAATGTGTCCTTCATTATTCTAATAAAACAGAAAAAAAAAAAAAAAAAAAAAAAAGAAAGAAACCAACAATCTGGAATTTTGGGAAGCCTAATAGCTGGTGGTTGATGGTTTGATTTTACAACCTCCGAACGTTAGACCCTAAATGTTCGAGAACACTTCCATTCAACACACCCTTTCCCACCACAACAGAAAGCCTGTCCCTGATTGACCCCTCTCACATGGTTAAATACAAGTCTTACACATTATCTGATCCTATTATACCGCAATATCTAAGGTTTAAATCTACTCCAATTAGGACATTTGTGCAAGAGATAATATTCATATTTTTCATCATAAATTTGATTAGGTAATGGAAATTCAGCAAAAAAAAAATTGGTAAAAAGAAGTCCATGTGTTGATGACTCTTCCTTGCATCAGGAGAGGCTCATTCAATTGAGTAATGTTAGCATTGGGCTTCTTGGAAGACATCTTTCGCTTTCCATGGATGCTCAATTGCTGGCTCCTTTGTTAAAATCAACAGAGTCCTTTTGGGCATTGCAATTTGTTTGCCTCCTGACATTGATCTCATTACTGGTGCCTTAAAAAAAAAGACCCTATCTAGGTTTGACCATCAGGGACTGCATGTTTCAAATAAGATACAGTTTTTAGTCTTGCCCAATAGTGATGGATTGTATCTACCTGACTAGACCCTTAGTTGAGTCGTACGATGGCGGCTAAGTACGACTGGATCCACTTAGATTACTACCTACTCTAATAGGATAGTAAAAGTGATAAATCGTCTGTCCTAGCCAATGCTCAGCGAGAACCCTGCATGATCTTGTAGTTGGATTATTTGATGTACATCTTGTTGATTTGCAACATGATGCTGATAACATAAGGTAGTGGCGAGCATTGCAATTTGATGCTGAGGCTTCAAACTAATGACTCTATATTATTGCCTTTTCTCATAAACAGCTTCGCTAATTCTACGGAGACTATCAAATTAAGGTGGCAATCTTGCATTTAGCATTTGGATGACACGGTAATAAGTCTTTCGAATGTTATACATCGCAACGATGACTATATAATGGGAGGAAGCGCGAGGCCGTTGACTATATAGAATGTTGTAAAAGTCTAGAGTAAGGAGAGGATGGTAGAAATCATTAATGGTTACCGTGGGTCAGAGCCTCTGCCTTTATGATGAGAAGGCATCCATTTTGGCTGCCAAAATCAATTCAAACTCAGATTATATTTTCTGTTCAAGATTGGACAGATATCGTCTTTTGTCGACTTCTTTAATTTATTTTTTCTGGACATGTGGTGAAGAACTGCAGTCGCAATGACAACCCAAACAAGGTCCGTGCGGTGGAAAACACTCCTGCCAAACCCCGAAAGGGCTCTCAGGTGGCCAAAGAGGGTAAAAAGGGTACTCAGGGTGGCTCCAAAGTAACTCCTGGTGGTGCTCCAGTTGGAAACAAAGGTAATGCCCAAGGAAAAGGCCAGGATGTTGCATCTGGTGGTTCCCAAGGTGATTCCGATAATCGAATTGCTGCTACCCAGCAAGGTAGCACTCAAGGTGACGCTGATAGTCAAACAGGTGCTAGAAAGCAGGTAGTTGATAGAGATGTTCAAATGGATGATCTTCCAAAACTCCAAGTTAAAGAAGTCGATGGGAAAGGGGCTTCCAATGATATTATCATGTACGACTCTTCTACCCATTCTGCTAATGAACGAGAGGAGCGCCCTGAACGCCCTGCGAAGAAGATCGGTAAATTTAATGGCGCGGATGATGTTAGTTCTGCCAAACAACAAGCTGCATCTAATGAAGTAGAGACTGGACACCAACTCGGCTTGACAGGCCCTCCTTCACCTCCCCAACATTAATATGATTAATCAGCAAAATACAGTGAAAATAGCCACCCTCAATTGCCGTGGCCTAAAAAAAACAGATAACGCCAAAAAAAGACAACAATTTATTAGATATCTTCGAACATTAGGATATGACATCTTAGTGCTTCAAGAAACACATGCAACAGACAACACATTTATAGACATACTCAACACTCAATTTACTTGCAAGTCGAGTCTTTGGACTCAACATTGCGGCATCATTTCCCTCAACACTCACTACTCACTCAAACACATCTCAGAAGGCATTGATGGGGGTCGATTTATCTTGGCTTCCCTTCATCTTACTCGAGACCTGGAAAATTCACCCAATTCACCACCAATAGCAACAATACTTAATATTTACGGTCGTGCGTCCGCTCACACCGACCGATCAGCGTTCTATTCAGAACTCATTGGCACACAAATTGTCAAAGAAACTATTACTACTACAACAAACACCGTCTTTATCATGGGAGACTTCAACTACCAGTACAAGGATCGTCGAGTCGATGGCACCCTCACCAGTGCACCAGTAGAATGGACCGATCTACTCGATGATTACTTTATTGACGTTTTTGGGGAAGACAAACACAACACATGGCATAGTGGAAGCAATTCAGGGATTCTGGATTACATCTTTTGTAGTTCAAACGCCCATCATCTAGTCACTAGCACCAACCAGCAGTATCTGTCTCCTGCCTGGACCGACCATGAACTCTTGGGATTCTCTTTTCGATATCAAGATGCGAATGGCCGTGGCCCTGGTAACTGGAAGGCAAATCCGTTCTTAGCTTGCAACAAAACATTTAGGAAGGCATTGGCAGAATTCCTCATTGATAGTGAGGCGCGTCTGGCAGAAATCAAGCGTTTCTCCACTCCCCAACAACAATGGGATTGGATCAAAGCCGAAGTAAAGATGTTTATCAAACAGTATCAAATGGAGGATTTGAACTGGCGGAAACAACAGCTACACCGACTGCTATCAAAGAGAAACAAGATGATGCGGCATAAGAAGACAAGAGGCTTGGTGTTTCAAGGCTTGGACACGGTTAATCAACAGATTCAATCTCTCCAGCACTCTCTTGCAGAAATAGAGATCTTGAAGGCAGGAAAATTTTGGCGGGAACATGGTGAGAAATCTCCAGGCTTCCTGAAGCGCTCTGTGGTGTCTCGAGAAAATCGTCGTTCAATTGTGGAACTCAGGAACCCTACAACTGGCGATCTATGTCAAGATCAACCTAGCATCTCCAACATTGCTACCAACTTTTACACCTCACTGTTCACACCGGAGGCTCTGGATTCAACCTCCCTCAGTGTTATAATTCGCAACATCCCAGGTCATTTGAAGCTCAACAGCGAGCAGCAGGAATCATTGATGATGCCGATTGATGTGGAGGAACTCTTGACCGATAGCAAGCAGACTCGTCGTTTGAGTAGTCCTGGACCTGATGGATTACCTTATGAAATCCTGTACTTGGTAATGAAATTTCCACCGTTCCATGATCTCATCCAATTAGTCTACAATGAAGCTTTAAAGAAGGGTAAGTTCCCGCCATCTTGGAACGAATCCGTCATGTGTCTGCTTTACAAGAAAGGCGATCCAGCTGAAATGAAGAACTACCGTCCTCTGTCTCTGGCTAATTCAGACTACAAGCTCTTCACTCGCAATATCAACCGTCGAATCATGGAAGTCTCTTCCAACTTGATCAGCCGACATCAGCTTGGGTTTATTCCTGGTCGATTCATTGCTGAAAATGGAATGATCTGCCAGCTCCTAATGGAAGATGCTCAACGGAAATGGTCCATCGCTGAACAACAGGAAAATGATTCTTCCTTTAACACTTTGGATTATGACATCGGTCTTCTTCTGGATCAAGAAAAGGCATACGATCGGGTGAACTTGGAATATTTGAGGAAGGTATTGGGGAAATTTGGGTTTCCTCGCCCTATTATCAAGTGTATCTCCAAGTTGATGGGTGACAACCTCATACGTATCAACATCAATGGCCATCTGTCAACTGAAGTGGCGAAACTTCGAGGCTTGAAGCAGGGGGATCCTCTCTCTCCTGTACTGTACAACTTGGCATTTGAACCTTTTCTGCTTGCAATCCTGCATGATCGCCAATTTCAAGGCTACTTGATGGGTACTGCACGAACAAAACTCCTGTGCTATGCTGATGACGCTTTGGTGTTTATCCATGACTCCAATGATTTGACTCGGTTACAGCTCCATATGGCTCGTTACTGTGCTGCCTCCAACGCCAAGTTCAATAATGCCAAGGTGGAAGCCTTTTCAGTGTCTGGTCGGGATACATGGGATATGTGGGATGGTCCATTATCACAAATGGGTATCACACATCTCCATTCTGTTGAGGACGATGAACCGTTGACCTATCTGGGATTTCCTCTCGTCCAAAGTAGGATTCAGCGAGTTCACTTTATGGGTGCTTTGGTAACAAAGATCAAAACTGCCATCCAGATTCATTCTGGTCGCTCCCTGTCGGTCGTTGGAAAGGCTACAGTGCTGAACTCTCTTTTGCTCTCCAAGCTATGGTACATCCTGCGTGTTACGCCTTTGACTCAAGCTGACTTCAAGCAGCTGCGTTCTCTGGCTATTCAGTTCTTGAGAAGAAACATCTTCCCCGTCATCCCTTGGAAGGTGTGGACTCTACCAAAGGACAAAGGTGGTCTCGGTGTTGTAGACATCCAAATACAAGCTTCAGCTTTGTATTTTCGTTGGCTCCACCCATTACTGGTTCAAGATCAAGATGTCATAGATTCCCATCCTGTGTCGTACCTCTTAAGCTACCACATTCGCAATGTTAATGGTTACCCCCACCATCAAATCCCGCTGCTATTTCCCTCTGCTCGTCGTACTAAGGGGTTGAAAAAGCAACGCACGGGAACTGTCGATATGTTATATCGTACAGTTGACTATCTTCCTAAGTCGTTTGATGCGGCACCGATCAATTCTGCAACTGCCATGGCTCTTCCATTACAGGCGGCTTTCTATGTTCCTCCATCCTCCTCACTGGTTGTTCCTCTTAAAGTCAAAGAGATGATGGTTTCTGATGTATTTCAGTACGATGCCCGGCTTAACTTTGTACATTGGAGAGACACTCGTGACCCTTCCCTCCTCAGGTGGAAGAGAGCTCCTTCAACAGTGTTCAGAGGCCTCGCATCTGGCACTCTTAAATTCCAACCCTACTTCCTCCCAGTGTGTAATCCAGCCCCTGTAGTAGATCCTGGAGTCTCTTTTGCGCCGCTGGTGGATCAATTTTGTCTGCACGATGGCCAATCTCTTAGAAACGCTCAGGCTTCCGCCAAAACATTTCGTCTGTCTGTACTGTCGTCGGCGGAACAGCCCTTGGTCTTGCAAAATGTCTCTGCTGCTAATTGGAAATTCTTTTGGTCCCTGTCTCTTACCTACATTCAACGTAATGTGATATACCGATTCATCGCAGGCTGTATCCCTTCTAGAAGCAGATTACACTACATGATGCCTGCATTTTTCGAGTCCCACAATTGTCCTGTCTGCTTGTCCCCCAATGAAACTGCCAGCCACCTGCTCTTTGACTGTCCATCCAAAGAAAAGGTATGGCAAGGCGTCATTTTTGAGTTCCTATGGCCCACCACGTCCATCACTGACATCAAAGAGGCTCTTCTGTCCCTGGACTTTTCAGATATCTGGTACTCCCAAGTCAAAGGCATCCATCCATACAGAATCCTACTCATCACCCTGTCTCAAATATGGCTAGCCCATATGCGCTTTGTTTTTGACGGCACTATCTTTGTCCCTGAGGCAATTCTGGTACATATCCACTCCACTGTCCGACAGACAGTGGATGAAGATCAAATCCATTCCCTCTTGTAATTTAGATAGTTAGATAGTTCCTTTTGTTAGTTTAGTTTAGTTTCCATTTATATTTATATTTTTTTCATTTCTCAATTGCACCCGCCTCTTCACTCTGACCTATTACTCTTAGTGTACGCGGCTCAATCAATAAACACAATTTAAAAAAAAAAAAAAAAAAATTATTTTTTGATATTCGACTATATAAACTGTAATGATCACCCTACGCTTCCTAATACATTCATGGAGCACTTTTCAAGGCGCTTCCAATGGTGCTAATTGTAGTAGATGTTTAGAATAAGATTATTGAGCAGTTTGGTAAAATTTGAAATGAGGGTTTTAGCCAAAATATCGAGATTTTGCATGTAAAAGCCTCACTAAAATGGTTTCAGAGGCTACTTTAGACCGCAAGAAACATCTTGATCCTAAACATGCTATAGTAAAAGCCTTCATTTTGGAGGTTAAAAACGCGATCGTTTGATTTTCGGTGAAAACCATGAGGGGTACCTCATGGTTTTTGGTCGATTTTTGACGATATTTTTTGGGTCATCAAAAATTTGAGTAAAGGTGTCAGGAAGTTGGTGTTAGCTTATAGCAATTATGTAGTGCTATTCCTGCGGTCTAAAACGGCCTCTAACACGAGAAATCACGGCTGAAGTGAATTCAAATTTTGCTGCAATTTGCATACTTTGAGAAGAAGGAGTCAATCTAAATACGCTGTTGGCCTGTATATGGATTGTCCCCATTGATATAGCCGTGTTATATATGACATTCTCGGCCAGCGAGTGATAGGCCATCATTGGTCGAATCAAAACGCGAAAACGCGATATAACAGCAACAGAATTATTTTATACTTTTTCATGCGTTCTTTCTTTTATACCAAATTGCCATTCACGATAGCAAGATGGAGCCCGAGTCATTTGGATTTCCATTTGAACCCTATTCGATACAGAAAGATTTCATGACAGAGCTGTACAAAGTGCTATCAGATGGAAAGATTGGGATATTCGAGAGTCCAACTGGCACTGTAAGTAGACATCGCGGCCTATGTGTAAAGTGAGCTGATAACAAGTGAATACAGGGTAAATCTTTGAGCCTCATCTGTGGATCGTTGAAATGGCTAAAGGATTGCGACGAAAAGGGTCTGGAGGTCCCTGAATTGACTGTTCAACCCAAAGGTAAGTATCTAGCGAAAAGGAAGCAGAAATAGCACAGAATAACACAATCAAATTCATCCAGCAAACCAACCAGACTGGATCACCGCACTGCACCAGCAAACTACCAACAGCAAAAAGCAGATGGAATTAGAGAAAAGGAAAGCAGAGTTTAAGAAGCGAATTGACCGAGTGCGAGAAAAAGAGAACCAGGAGATGTTTGAATTAGCAACCAAGGATAGAAGCAAAAAGCGATTCAAACGTGGTGCGCAAGACAAGACAGAGAAAGCCGACGATGAGTTTTTGCTAGATGATTACGAGAGTGATGATGAAAAGAAGACTGGAAACAAGACAGATACCAAATCCAACCTATCCAAAGAAGTGCAAGATTTGTTGGCTAAATTCGAATCTAAAAAGAAACCTTCTATTGGATATGGCGATGATGAGGATGACGAGGATGATGCTTTGCTAGAGGAACAAGTCAAGATCTACTACGCTTCCAGAACCCATTCCCAGCTCTCACAGTTTGTACATGAAGTCAGCAAGACAGTCTATGCCAGAGACATATACGAAGTGTCGCTTGCCTCGAGAAAAAACCTGTGTATCAACCCTGATGTGAATAAGCTCGGGCATGTCAACAAGATCAACGAGGCCTGTTTGGACCTGCAAAAGAAGGGATCAAAAAAGGGGCCATGCAAGTATTTACCTGCTGGAGACAATACGGCAAAATGGAACGAGTTTCGAGACCACGCATTAGCCCAAGTGCGCGATATTGAGGATTTAGTGACAGTGGGGGAGACACTATCCACATGTCCTTACTATGGATCCAGAAATACTGTGAAATCTGCCAGATTGGTTGTGCTGCCGTACCAGCATCTGCTCCATGCTAGCACACGGGAATCTCTGGGCATCTCCTTGAAAAACAACATTGTCATTATCGATGAAGCACACAATCTGATGGAAACCATGACATCTATCTACACCGTATCACTTTCACTGCACCAAATTCAGCTGGCCTGGAACCAACTCAACTTGTACATTCAAAAATATAGATCACGACTGCTAGGAAAGAATGTAGTGTATATCAAGCAGATCCTAAACATCATCAAAATCCTAGTTCGCCATTTGACTCCAAAAGACGAAGCACAACGCAAAGATTCTGTGATGCGAGTAAATGACTTTCTTCATGCTGCATCAATTGACCACATCAACATGTTCAAGATTCAAAACTACTTGCTAGTCAGCAGCCTTGCTCGCAAGTTAAATGGTTTTATCGACAAGGCAAGAGAAAAGGAGGAGGAAGACAGGCAAAAGGAGCTCCTAAAGAATCCCAAAGCAACACCTGCCAAACCCTCACCGTCATTGACTTCCTCCACATTGACCCTCACGCAGATTGAAAGCTTCTTGATGGCATTGACCAACCCAGACAAGGATGGGCGTATTGTTACAAGCTTTGGCAATGCAGAGAATCCAGGTGTAACGATCAAGTACATGTTGTTGAATCCAGCCGATGCTTTTCAGCCTATTGTGGACCAAGCCAGAAGCATTATTTTAGCAGGTGGTACCATGGAGCCAGTAAGTGGGAGTTGTGTAGTGTGAAGGTGGAGAGACACTGACTGTTTGCATGTAGATTTCAGATTTCTTAAACCATCTATTTCCCTCTGTACCTGAATCCAAGATTGCCCATTTTACATGTGGTCATATTATACCCCCCACCAATCTTGCCACTATCACATTGGACGCAGGGCCAACTGGGCAGCCACTGATATTCAACTACGAAAGCAGACAAGATACGAAATTGGTAAAATATATAGCTGCAACGAAATAACAGGTGCTGATTGATTCAAAATCACTAGATGGATGAAGTAGGCAATACCATTGCTAATTTGTGCAATGTCATCCCCGATGGTATTGTGTGCTTCTTTCCCAGTTTCACCTATCTGGAGCAAGTGTACAAGCGATGGGAAACCGCTGAAAATGGTGCCATACTCCAGCGCATTGAAAAGAAGAAAAGAGTGTTTAAAGAGCCCAGAGAGAGCAATCAAGTAGAGACGACATTGCGAGACTACGCCATGCAGATCGATTCACCCGACAAAAGTATAGGAGCACTCTTGCTGTGTGTAGTGAATGGTAAGATGTCTGAGGGTATCAACTTTTCAGACAGCTTGGGCCGTGGTGTCATTATGATTGGACTCCCCTTTGCCAACAGAGGATCTGTCGAGTTGATGGAAAAAATGAAATACGCTCAACAGTACTCGGCAAGTAAAACCTGCTTTAGAAGGCTGAGCCAAACACTAATAAGTTCAATAGAAAGGAAATGCAAATGCAGGCACTGAATACTACGAAAACCTGTGTATGCGCGGTGTCAATCAATCCATCGGTCGTGCCATTCGTCATCGAGGAGACTATGCTACTATCATTTTACTGGACAAAAGATATGCTACACCACGTATTGGCAAGAAGCTACCCAAATGGATTGGAGAGCATGTAGAGCATGTGGATAAATTTGGCTTGATTATGAGCAAAACGTCGAAATTCTTTAGAGAAAAAAAAAGGTTTAGCTAATAAATGTGTCGTGTCAAAATAATGATGTTGAGTCAGTCTAATGGCGCCATGTCAATGGAAATTCATGCAATCCATGTAGTTTCATGGTACGTTTTCCACTGTTGTGGGTTGCTTCCTCAACAGTTTTTCTTTTTCTTTCTGTTTAAACCCTAAATACTCAATCTCATCTTACCCTAATGCAGACCATGACGATCATCCATAGATTCTGCTGACGATCTTTGTTTTTGCATAGAAGATGAATGACATCTGCATGAGTCTATTGTGATATTCCCCGGCAAAGCACAGCATTGTATCATTGCAGACGTTCGGGAGTATATTCGCTTGCATGCTTACTCGACTTTAGAAACAAAACTGTCATTTATGTTTTTTTGTTGAGGTTTAGTTTCTTCTCCTTTCTTTCTCTATTTTTCAACAATGAGGCGGGTGCTTATCGCTTATTATTTACTACTACTGTCACTACATCACTACGTAGATGCTATACCCAAATTTCATACAGGTAAGTGCCTGACGGTGGAGACTTTGCCACGCTCAAAAACTCACGCATACACTGCCCAGTCAACAGCCATTTCCACAATGGCACCACTTGTCCAGCTGTGACAAGACCAAATGTGCTTTGTCCTGTTCTATGTGTCACAAATCAGGCACTGTGTCCACCTCAGTTTGGCCCTCAGTCATGTCCAAATGGCTCCAGCCTGTGTATCGATGGATCTTGTAGTGCGTCCTGTTTAAACGCAGTAACTCCAGTGTGCTCATGTCCATCACAACCAGGAGCTGTGCTAAAGGCTTGCAGAAGCAGCGCATTTCATGTAGATATACCCAACTACGATCCCAAGAATATGACTCTCCAGCAATACGAAGCTTGTTCAACTGGCATGAACATACCTTCCACCATTCAGAATACATGGGCCAATCTTCCTTCCAACCAACAAGCCATGATATGGAACATATGCGAGGCACCTCAGGGCATGAATTTTCCTATCCGAGGTAAGTGGAATAATAAGCATATATATATATATATATATATATATAGCACGCAGTAGCTCACGTTGCCATGACACCACTTAGCTGTGATAGTGATCGTCTATCTTGCGGTTCATCTAGCCTTCTTCCCATTATGGGGATTATGGGCTATTTACAAGCATGCCAAAGAAAAGGTAGGTTGCACTTCATGAGTCAATCGGAGCAATATGACTTATATGGTATTGTTAGAAATTGAACATGATCCATATGGATCATGCCAATGGCATTAAAATAAATGGAAGACCACAGTTGGTTGAGTTGGAGACAAGTCCATCCAGCAGTAATGAGATCATTCATTGTGAAGAAAAGGACAACAGTGAAAAGGGTTTTGCAGAGCATGTCGATATGGAAGGCAGTGCTATAGAGGAGGAAAAACAAGAAGACCACAATGAGCTAACGCAACGAGGTTTCAAGCGTAATACTATCGGCAATTCCATGATTGTGTACATGGGCGTCATCTCGATATTCTGGATTGGGATACTACTGCTGCTATGCTTGGATTATTATGGCTATGTAAGTATGGTTACTATGGAAACGAGGAGAGAAAGAGCGAGAGCTTATTGACTCAAATCTATAACAGGTTATCAAAGATACGCCGTTTGGATTATTCTACAACTCTTACGATTTGTCAAGCAAAGCATTCTGTGTTGCCTGGTTTCTCTCCACCAGCTGGTACTTATTCATCAACATTGCAAGAACCAAGATCAAAAACTACTTTCGTATTGAAACAACATTTGCCAATGCTGACTTTATTCAGATTAGGAAACCGAGACGAGTGATCCAAATGAAGAGTGAAAGCGAGCGTAGTGTGATTATGCCTGCGCTGTCGAAATTCGAAAGCATGACTCGACAACTATTGGGCTTTGACACACTCACTACTACTGTACCCGTTGTCAAGTTGGACGACCAACAACGCTATTTTGAGTTTCAATCCACTCGATACCACTATGAAGCGACCACACAGACATTTGAACCAGTGGACATCAAGAAGTTCTTCAGTATGAAGCCGCAAGACTTGGTCACCATGAAGAAGGGACTGGACGATGCTACAACACAGACTCGCCTGCAATCACTGGGCCCTAATTTCATTGAGGTCAAGGTACCAAGTTTCCTTCAAGCGCTTTGGGAGGAATTGACTGGTTTCTTTTACATTTATCAATTGCAAATCCTATGGTGCTACTTTTACTTGGCTTACTGGCAGATTGGTATATCAGACACGGGTGTAATTCTTTTGGCTGCTCTCATCAAGGTGATTGTGCGTTTGAAATCAGAGAAAAGAGTTAAGACGATGGCAGAACATGTGGATACATGTCAAGTGCTTCGAAACCAGGTGTGGTCAGGTGTATCTACTGCTGATTTGGTGCCTGGAGACGTAGTCAAGGTGGAAGCTGGTCAAACTGTGCCTGTGGATGCTGTGATACTTTGTGGTGATATTGTCGTAGATGAAAGTTCATTGACAGGTAGGTATACAGTGTGTCTTGTATTTGAAATGTGTTAATCATATCATGTATATAGGCGAACCACTTCCTATTAGAAAATTTCCTCTGCGTTCCACGGATGACAGTGCATCTCTTATCGACTTTGATTGCCAATCTTCTGCTGGCAAGACAAATAGCTTATTTGCAGGCACCACCGTCAAGCAGAGTACTGCAGACGCTATTGCCTTGGTGCTCAAGACTCGCACAGACACGGACAAAGGACAGCTTGTGCAGCGCATCTTGTTTCCTCAGCCAGTGTCGTTCATCTTTAATGAGCAGCTCAAATTGGTCTTTTTTTTATTGCTATTATGGGCTCTCGTCTTGCTTGGATTTGGTGCCTGGTGGCTCGGTGGAACAGGCATGACGGCTTGGTTTTATGGCACCATTTGTGCAGCTCAAGTCATGAACCCTCTTCTTCCAGGTAGGATGCCATATATATATATATATATATATATACATAGTCTGTTTTGCTTATATAGAGTATATATTATAGCCATTTTGGTGGTGGGACAATCGGTGGCAGCGGGAAGACTAAAGAAGAAGGGTGTATTCTGCGTTGATTTTCCCCGCATTCTGATGGCTGGCAAGGTGCAAGTCTTTTGCTTTGATAAGACGGGCACATTGACCAAGGAGGGTTTGGAGTATTATGGCGTGTATCCTGCCAAAAAAGAGGCCTTTGAAGATTTGCAGCCATCCTTCACGGAACTCTCAAACACCAACAACGATTTGATGCAAATGGGGCTGTCTTGCTGTCACTCTGTTACTATGCTCAATGGAGACTATGTTGGCAATCCCGTGGATTTAGTCATGTTCCAAGCAACAGAAGCATCATTGTCAACGGATGAAGCAGGCCAGGAATTGATCATTCCAAACAAGAACCAAGGACCCACACTCAAAGTGCTTCAACTCTTTGAATTTCAGCATGCTCGGGCAACCATGTCGATTGCAGTCAAGGACATGATAACGGGCCATGTACACGTCTTTTGCAAAGGGTCATTTGAGAGAATTGCTGATGTGTCTGCAAGTGGGATACCAGCAAATTTTGATGAAATCACCTCACACAGTGCCAGAGTAGGGTGTTATGTGCTCGGTATGGCCCACCGCGACCTTGGCATTCTGTCGCAGGAAGAAGAGGATCAGCTTGCTACACACTGCACTCGAGATCAGCTGGAATCAGACTTGACATTTATAGGCTTGGTGCTTTTCAAAAACTTACTCAAAGAGGACACGGCAGATGCTATTCAGCAGATCAAACAGGGTGATGTTCGCGTTGTAATGATTACGGGCGATAATGCATTGACAGGTGTCTTTATCGGTCAGCAGTGCCATTTTGTGCCACCCAATGCACAAGTCATTGTTGGCGATGTCATGGCTGACATAGACAAACTGGTGTGGACTGATGCGGATACAGGCAAGCCAGTAGAGCATATTGACGCTGCTATTGCCAGTGGTTATGAATTGGCCATGACAGGCAAAGCATTCCGTTTGCTGGTATCTAATGGTACTATGCGCGACTATCTATTTTCCACTCGTATATTTGCAAGAATGACGCCTGTAGACAAAATGCAGTGTGTAGAGCTATTGATGGAGAGAGCCATTACAGCCATGTGCGGTGATGGCGGCAATGACTGTGGTGCGCTGAGGTCGGCTCATGTAGGTATTGCCATGTCAGAAGCAGAAGCCTCGGTGGTATCGCCTTTCAGTACACCCAATCGGTCTGTGCAAGCGTGTGTTGATCTGCTGATTCAAGGTCGCTCAGCGCTTGCTACTTCATTTGCCAGCTACAAGTATCTCATCATGTATGGTGAGACCATGGCTACTGTCAAATTCTGCACCTTTTACTATACTATGTCGTTTTCGCAGTGGAATTTCATCTTGATTGATGCCTTTATCACAGTGTTCTGTGCCTTTGCAGTGACACAAGCTGGTGCAGCTAAGAGACTATCACACCATCGACCCACTGCTCGTATTTTGGGACCTGAAGTCTTGCTGTCTGTGTTGGGGCAACTCTGGATCAATGTGTGGTTCTTGATTGGTGCCTTCATCTGGCTGTATACAAGAGACGATTTCTTTCGATGCCGTGAATGGGATGCCAGAGCGACGGATGCGTCCAAATGGTGGCTGCTAGGCGACAGTTTCGAGGCAGATGTACTGACATTTATAGCACTGTTCCAATTTGTCAATTGTGCCATGGTTTTCAACTATGGCTACATCTTTCGACAGAGGTGGTACCGCAATTATTTTTTGATAGTTGTTTGGGCAGTATTCATCAGTATCGTCAGCTACTGGGAATTGGCAGGTAGGATATACCACATATCCATATTATAGATTGCATTGATATCTCTGACAATGTAATAGATCCAAATCGCTTTGGCTGCTTGATGCGATTGAATTGCGGAAATCCAGATGTGTTGGTATCGCTGGGTTATGAAAGACCTTCCTTTTACATTGAGCCGTACAATAACCCATTAGGACACAATGTGCTTCCAAAATCATTCAGATATCAGTTTTGGGCTTACTCTATTGTAAACATGCTTGTGGTACATGTTTGGGAGAGATTCGTCATTCTAGGTCCCGTGAGACATATGCTTAGAAATAGTAACTACAATTTTGTTAAACGTTTATTCCCGTTCAAGACCTAAGAATAGTGCTATTTTCACATCCACTACTAACCATCCCATTTGCCCCAAAATGCAAATATGGACCTACCAGCATAGACATGTCCAATCGTAATGATGGTCAATTAGATATAAAGAACAGAACAATGTTGAATAGTATGAATTGTGTGTGTGTATGTGTGTGCTTTGTGAAGTGTGCATGCTATAGTTTTTACATTGTGAAGATGGCGATTTTTGCATGGGAATGGGCTAATAAATAAGGCCTAAAGACGGTCCTGTAATAAGATGCATCCAATGCTAGTATGAATAGATTCTTTTTTAGGAGTCGTGTCAAAGAAGGTGCATAATTGCTCTCAAACTAGAGAAATGTTACTGCACTGTTAAATTGAATAATCAATTGGATGCATTTACTGCTTTTGATTTGACATCCATTACACAGTTTTATGTGAGGTATGTCCTTTAATATTTACTATACGAGGAAGTTATACAGGTATTACTACAGCACAAAGTTTATGTATCAAATATATCGCGTAAGGTGATACGATTTTTGACTCTAATGAAATGATTCAAAGTGAAATGTAGACAGAAGGAGAGCAGCGCTCCACATTTATAATGGTAGTAGAGCTTGTTGCAACAGAAAGGGCAGATAGAACAGCAGGTTTCCTTTCTTTATTAACCTTGCGTTTGAATGAGTTGGCAACCACATTGTCAATAATGGTGGACGTAATAAGATCATAATTTAGTTTGCTCTTGGCCTGACAGAATCACCCTTAGTAAAGCTATCAAACGGTATTACAGCACAGCTTGCACAGAAAATGGAGTGCGACTTTGCGTGGTTAACGACGCGAGTGGTCCAATTGCTCCTGTATGCTTCAAATGGTGTACTGTACCATCAAATTGATTAATGATGAGTTCCTGCAACGAGTGTTAGTGCCGGCATTGTGATTGAATCAAGGAGTAGTATCCAAGCAAATAAAATATATCATATCATATCATTATCAAACGTACGATAACAATACATACCACTTCTCTTTAACCCGCAATCATCATTGCCATCATCATTGTCATCTATCACAAGGGCATTTTCTGGGTTGCAGCAGCACTGCCCGCCGCCAAATCCGATTCGAACTCTGACCTTTTTTTCTGCTCAAAGATTGGTCCAATTCTGTCTTTTTTCGACTCGATTAAACTATCTTGCGAGATTCGACTATATACATTGAGATGATCAGCCAATGCTTCCTAATACAACAGTCTTTTCTTTCCCTCAATATGACATTTTAAGGACTTTAAATAAAACCTGGAGCTCGACTCCCCTACAAAAAAAAAAAATGCTTCCTAATACATTCATGGAGTACTTTTCAAGGCGTTTCCAATGGTGCAAAATTGTGCATCTTGATTCTAATTTCGAAATCTCTGCGACAATGAGCCGCTGTATTCATACATTAGCAGATGTATTCATCTTTATTTCAAACAAACACATAAAGAGGGGCACCATTACATTATGTATTTTTTCTCAATAAAAAGTGCCTCCACAAACACAACGCTTTCCTGCACTTTGGTACCATTGCGCCGAGAAACAGGGATCATTCACGTCGTTTGCAGAATCCACAAGCAAAGTAGGCTGATGGCATCTATCAATGAACAGTCATGTTAATATGGACCAAATCCCTTTAATGTAAACTTCCTTTTATTGTATATACCTCATGCATTGCATCGTACTGACATGCGAAGGAAGTCGTCTTTTGCGAATGACATCAAATGTATACAGGGGTTCATTTTCAAGGTAGATTGACGGTTGAGCGCACTTGTCGCGATATTCGTTTGAGATCTTTTGTATGTCGGCAATGGTATAGTCTTTTAGATTGGATGAGAGCAGTAAGGACCAGCGGTTCTTTGGTGCATCTATGTGAAAGGGTAATAAGTAGTCTAAATCATGTCCTTTTAAGCAACCCAGAGACTTACGAGTTGTATTAGGTTTGAGAGAATCGAGCGCATTCAAAAACTCAATATTGTCCTTGAGTGTGATGGTCTCATTGTTGAGTAATGTGGATGCATATCTTTGTAATAGAGATTGTGATCTAGGTAGATGTTCTAATTGATAGCTTGTAGTTGTTGTATATTGAATAAAATAATGCATGAGTTTCAGGATGTTACTGAGCGTTTTTCTAGAATCTTGGTGTAGTAATAAAACAGCATGCACTGATTTGTCATTGATGTCTGCATTTTCTACGACAGAAAAGGTTGTCTGATCAATATTGTGCATACACACACACACACACACGCACACACAACTTACGAGCATCATTTGGCTTTTTGCAATTGAAAATCATATACCATTCACGCAACACCCACCGTAAATAATCATAGATCCAAGTCGATAAGGAAATCAGAGACCATAAACTATCAGGATCGAATTCTATCTTGTCGTTAGCGTCTAGTGTAGATTTGTTCAAGATGCCTGTGATATCCGAGTAATCTGTAGTACAGCTTGCAATGAAGCATTCTAAAATGAGTGGAAGTTGCACGGCCCTTGACAGATTGATGCTTTGAATCTGTTTCTCAGGCAGTCGACTGTACACAGCCATTGCAAAGCCGTAAGCTGTTTCTAGGCTCGCTAGACTCCAATCCTCCAGTGGTCGATTCGAGAGCTCTTCTGCTTTGCCATAGTGCATTTCATAAGCGTCCAATACATTGCTGATAATAGCATCGACTTTATCTATGCAACATGGTGTCAATTAATCATGCAACAAAAGTGTTTGTGTGTGTGTGTGTGTGCACAAAGCTGAAGTGCTACCTTTGTGTTGAGCCAATTTATGAATACTTGCTAATTCCGATATCAGATCAAGATAGTCCACATTGTTCAACAAGCACAACTGCAACTTTTGTGTGATTGCCTTGACTGCAAAAATAGAGTTAGCAGGGCATGTCGAAAACATTATGTAACCTCATACCGTATGCATCAGAGTAAGTGTCACTTGTCAACCTTGAGACGCCTATGTTGCCAGTTGAAAAGCTGTAGATGACATGTGTTCCATTGGGCGATAAAGCAATGTCTGCAATGGGGTCAACGATACCCTTTCCTCCTGTTGTATGAGGCTCAGTGATCTGATAGAATGCAGGGTCAATCGAGTCATCCTTCTCAGAGCTGTTCCTTAATAGGCCCGGACTTGTGGCTAATTCAGCATGCACGCTGCCGTCTGAGAGTCCTACCATGATGGTGCTGTCTTGCGTTGATGTCTTGAGCGATGAAATAAAGCGTCCAGCGATATGAATGCCTGATTGAAAGACCAAACGACTATAAGTCTGTGTCACTGCGCCAAAATCTCTCTGAATAGACTTTTTCGTGTGCTGCAACTGCCATGTAGACACATACGATGCGTCTTCTTGTCCCATGCCTATCACGAGTTCCAGCGGTGCTGTTGCTGCTGTGTGTCTGAAAGCAAGTTGTGTAATGTTCTTGAAAAGCTGCTTTTGCAGTTTGAGGATGGTGATGGATTTGCACTCAATAGCGCCTTGCTGTTCGTGTGCATTTTGAGGAAACTGGATGCGAATAGAGTGAATAGCAACTGACTTGGGCTGTAGTGATGCATTGTGAGAAGCCAAGTAAATGTGGCCATCCTTGCTCATAGTGATGGCTGCGTGCGAGATGCGTTCCCAGTCATCCAAGCCAGCCAGGGACATGCCAAAACAACCCGCATCTGCTCTGCTAATCTCTCGTCGTCCAATGTTGGGCATAGGTGTTGAAAAGCTAGAAAATAGAGATCCACTGCGTTGGTAATGCACTTTGATTTCGCCGTGTACCGTTGCTGTGACAAATGCCAGTTGACCATATGAATTGCGAGGCCCTACTACGGGTTCTTGTTTGAGAGAACCGTCTGCTTGAGGCGTAAACTACAATTACTCTGTGAATAATCGCCCCTTCCATTCCTACTCAAAAGTAACCTACCAAACGATCCGTTTGTAGCCACAAAAACGCAGCTAATGGTTGCTTCAAATCAGCACTGTGGATCATCTCCCATTCATGAACAGAGCTCTACATCCAATCGTCAGTCAGTTGAATCTCAAAGCAACGTAATGTATGCCTACTTGAATATGCCATAAAGCCAAACGGCCTGTTTCGTCAACGGACGCGACCGTCTTTCCCTTTGGATCCCATTGCAGATGCGTGATGGTGTGCTGCTTGTGGAAATGCTCCATGGAGTGGATGGGTATTTTGCGTATGGGTTGATCCAAACAGAACAGATCTCCAGCAATGGCATTGCACTGCAGTTTGTTGGGCGGTGTGGGCACAGAGAGCACGACGCTATGTGGGGACACACATAATGACTCTGATGCTTGTTTGTAGGTCAAGGCAGAGAAATAGAAGCTGGCAGGATAGCGAGATGCCTTGTCTGAAAGTGCTGGTTTTTGGTGCTGCAATGTCCTCTTTCTCTTGATGCTTTTGGATGTACGTGTGATTTCAACCATGATAGGAAAACAAGAAGAAAGAGCGAGTAATCCAGAGGAGTGGGTTGCTACTCATTTTATTGGGCGATTTTGATGCCATTGAAACTCAGGGTATACACTGTGTGCTTGCCAGCCATGGGGCATTATCCACATCCTGCTATCAATCAATGATTCTCGGCAGAGCCATCTCGATCTGACATATCTTTTTGTAATGTGCACACTGCTGGGGCCCTTCCATATCAAGTACTGGTAGCCAGGACATACTGACAAGCATCATCAGAGCTAAAGCATGGACTAACAAAAGCGGACCATCGAATCACACATTGGCGTTTAAAGCAATTTAGTGTCAAATTTTTTAGATAAACGCGCGCGCGACCTTTTTTCTTTTTTTTTTTTTCCCTTATTTCAATACAAACATAAAAAATGTCTTTGCAATTAGACTACAAACGCTTCCATAGAAGAGCTCGCTACCTCGCAAACAAATGGAAGGTAAGCATCACAAGCATGCGCACTTGTGGCACACTCAATGTGCTGATCTACTTGCATATTAGAATGATCCAGAGACATTTCAAAACGTAGACGCTATTGCCGTCATTATCGGCGATGACGACTACGAAACACCCTACGTCAAGTCGCTCACACTGCAGGTAAGTCCATCCAACGCTACTGCTGACCGAGACGCTCACTATCACACTGCTTAGACCTGGCTATTGGGCATGCCCATCTTTCAATTCTTTTTGCTCATCACACCTGATAAAATCACCATGGTTTGCAGTCAAAAGAAGGCCGACATCATTGACACTCTCAAGCAAGGCGACAAGCAAATCACGTTGGATGTTATTCGTCGAGGCAAGGTGGCAGAGGAGAATGTGCCACTGTACGAGGACGTTATTGAACAACTGAGAAATGTAAGCAATGAGGATCACTCAGAGACAAAGCATATTTAATAACAATGCACACCGTAGAAACGTGTTGGTGTCTTTTCAAAGGATAAATTCAAGGGCAAAAACATTGATGAGTGGAGCAAGGCGTGTGCCAAATACAACAAGGAGTACGAGGAAGTGGATGTGTCTGGAGCTGTGGCTACCTGTCTGGCTGAAAAGGACGAGGAGGAAGTGAGATATGTCAAAACCGCAGCCAAGATCAGTTCCAACATGATGCAGTATTACTTCACCACTGAGATGTCCACCTACATTGACGAGGAGAAGCCCATTACCAATGAAAAGCTGAGTGAATTGACAGAGAACGCCTTGGAAGACCCCAAGATGGCAAAGCGTATCCGCTTCCCATCTGAAATCGAGAGCAAAGACGAGATTGACTGGTGCTATTCACCCATTGTGCAGAGTGGCGGCAAATTCGACCTGAGGTCATCGGCCCAATCCAATTCAGACAAACTCTATCCCGGCACCATCATCTGTAGCTTGGGTGTGCGCTACAAATATTACTGCTCCAACATTGCTCGCACATTCCTGATTGATCCCAGCAAGACGCAAGAGAAGAATTACGAGTTTTTGATGGAAGTGCAGGATCGTGTGCTGAACAGCATCCGTGAAGGTGTCAAAATCAAGGATGTCTATCAAAAGGCAGTAGCATTGATCAAACAGAAGCGTCCTGACCTGGAAAAGAACTTTACCAAGAATGTGGGCTTCGGTATGGGCATTGAGTTCCGTGAGCCAAACTATGTCTTGAGCGGCAAGAACGCGCGTGAACTCAAGAATGGCATGATCCTTAACGTGCAAGTCGGCTTTGCTGATCTGGAGAACCCCAAATCAAACGATCCTCGAGGTCAGAAATACGCGCTCATGCTGACAGACACAGTGCGTGTTACTAGCGACTCCAACATTGTCTTGACAGCAGACTGCAGCAAGAAACTAAACAAGATCTCTTACTTTTTTGATGATGAGGAAGACGGTGATAAAGAGGATGATACTCAAGAGTCCACCAAGAACCCTGCTGCTACGGGCCCTGCTGCTACTGTCAAGCGTGAATCTGCTATTGCTAAATCTGCCATCCTTCGCAGTAAACTCAGAAACGAAGATCAAGAGGAAGAATCGCGTGAGCAGAAGCGTAAAGAGCACCAAAAGCAACTGTTTGCACAAAAGCTGGCTGAAGGTCTCGCCAAATTCTCTGAATCCTCGGGCAATGGCGAGGGCGAAGAGAAGCCCGTGTTCCGCAAGTTTGAGAGTTATCGTTCTGAAGCTAAACTGCCTCGTGAAGTCAAGGGTCTCAAGATTGTCATTGATAAAAAGCATGATTCCATCATTCTTCCCATCTACGGCATGGCTGTTCCCTTCCACATCTCCACGCTCAAGAACGCTAGTAAGAGTGACGAGGGTGAGTATGTCATGCTGCGTCTCAACTTCTTGACACCTGGTCAAGCGGGCGGTAAGCGAGAAGACATGCCTTTTGACGATGCCAATGCCACCTTTGTGCGTGCTTTGACCTTCAGAAGTGCTGACACGTATCGCATGGGCGAGATCTTCAAGAGCATCACAGACATGAAGAAGGCCGCTTCCAAGAAAGAAGCCGAGCGTCGTGAAATGGCGGATGTGGTGGAACAAGACAACCTGATCATGGTCAAGGGCCGTCGTCCTCTGCGTCTTCAAGAAGTTAATGTGCGTCCTCAGACTGAATCCAAGCGTCTGCCTGGTGAATTGGAAATCCATCAAAACGGTGTGCGCTATCAATCTATTCGCTCTGACTCGTCGTTCAACGTGCTGTTCAGCAACATCAAGCATCTGTTCTTCCAGCCCTGTGATAACGAATTGTTGGTATTGATCCACATCCACTTCAAGAACCCCATCATGATTGGCAAAAAGAAGACCAACGACATTCAGTTCTACCGCGAGGCATCCGACATTCAGTACGATGAAACTGGCAACAAGAGACGCAACCGACACTATGGTGACGAAGATGAACTAGAGTCCGAGCAAGAGGAGCGTCGTCGCAGAGCCAACCTCAACAAGGAGTTCAAGTCGTTTGCCGAGAAGATTGCAGAGGCCAGTGATGGTCGCATTGAGCTGGATATTCCCTTTAGAGAGCTTGGTTTCCAAGGTGTGCCCAACAGATCCAACGTCTTGCTGCAGCCCACCACCGATTGTCTTGTGCACTTGTCTGATCCTCCTTTCCTGGTTATCTCCTTGAACGAGGTCGAATTGGCTCATCTGGAACGTGTGCAGTTTGGTCTCAAGAATTTCGATATGGTGTTCGTCTTTAAAGACTATCATCGCACACCCATCCACATCAATACCATCCCCATGTCGCAATTGGACAACGTCAAAGACTGGCTGGATTCCGTTGAGGTGGCCTTCACAGAGGGTCCTGTCAACTTGAACTGGAGCATGATTATGAAGACGGTGAATGATGATACTGGCGAGTTCTATCGTAATGGTGGATGGAATTTCCTTGGTACTGGCAGTGATGTAAGTGTTAGAGAAGCGTATTACATGAATAGACGGACTCACCCGGGAGCAACTCCATAGGACGAAGGTGATGGCATGGACTCTGAATCAGGCAGTGAATTTGAAATGAGTGTAGACGAGTTTGATGAAAGCTCTAGTGATGATGACGAAAGCGAAGCCAATTCTGCTTCTGAGGAAGAGGACGAGGATGAAGATATGTCTGATTCTGGTGAAGATTGGGATGAATTAGAGGATAAAGCACGACAAGGTAATGAATTTAAAACATGGCATATTGATGAACTTGGCAATTGACCTCCCTTCTTTCATAATTCAGCTGATGAGCGCAAGGCAAAACGTGGCAATGATTACGACGATGACGCCCCTGCTAGAAAGAAGCACAGACGTTAAATACACTCTGATCTACATTGTAAAAGATACTTGAATAATAAAATTTCGTAAATAAATATATATATATATTATTATTAGCATAAATGTTTTGGGCAAATGTGATACAAACGCCACTCGAGAACATGGATAATATCAGCAACGCGATCTTTTAAAAGTGCACGCACTAAATATTTTTTTTTCCCTGGTTCAACACTTTCTTTTCTCTTCAATTTTACATTGCAACACAGCAAATGGAGCCCATCAGTTGCACACACGACAAGTTTGACTTTACTCGAACAAAGAAGCCCTTGAAGCGCATTATCCGAATAAAACAAAAGACGAAACGTAAAACCACCATACCAGAATCACAAGTCGAGAGCATGTCCACTCAAGACATTGATGTCAGCAACCTTCCTTCAGTACTTGGCGAATACACGATATACATCCACCACTCCACCAATCGCTTTAGTTTAAGAGTGATTGCTGAAGGCCTTGGTGCCGCTGTTGTTACCGAAATGACAGGTGCTACTACGCACCTTGTCATTGAGCCGAAAGGCGACCCAAAGGCTATGAAAGTGGTAAAACAAGCCCTCGCCAATGGCATCATATGCTCCTCGCCGCAATGGTTGATGGAATGCTACGAAAAGAAAATGTACTTTTCAGCCGTTCATTTTCCTTATGCCATGCAGAAGGACACGCATGTATTGGGCTCAAATCCAGCGGAAATGACACCCGTCTCAAACCCATTCGATAACGAGTACATTGACTTTGATGCCGAGGAGAGCAGAAAAGCCAATGGAGGTCAGACCAATTTGGACCAATTCATCACAAGAGGACGCCAACAAGATAGCGACGGAGTGGTAGGAGAGGACGGTGCTGCGGCAGGAGGAATATCGACACCTTTGGATAGCTATCAGCAATTTGACGGCGAAATCTCTATGCCTTCTACCAGTCAAACGTGCAATACACAAGGCGGCATCCTTGAGGAAGACGAAGAAATGAGAAGAGAATTTTACTACAATAGCAATGATAGATCTGTTGCGTCCCGGCCATCTTCAGTCGAGACGACAGTACAGGAAACAGAGGAGGAGAAGAGACAAGCCGAGGAGAAGGCGTTGCAGGCGCAACAAGCAATTCAGCAAAGACTGTCTACAATGGAAAGGGAGCCTCAGCGATCAAAAAAGACGTTGCAGAGTGGGTTTGGAGAGCGATTGCGTATCTGGTATGGAGAACATGCCATTCGCTCAGAGGAAGCTCGAAAGAGAAAGGCAGTGCAAAGTGTACTAGGTGGCAGTAGTGGTAGTACTCCAGCTGGCCAGCAACAACAACAACAGCAGCAGCAGCAGCAGCGATTGAGACCGTCTTCTGTAGCTGCTACAGTATCTCATGCTTCCACATCTGCTTCAACATCTACCACGCGTCGCCAACCTGCAGCATCCACAAGACGTCGCCAACCTGTACAGCATCATCAATTGAAAAGACCAAGAGTTTAGTTGCTCCTATACCATTTTACATAAACTTCATCCCTTACTCATGTAATAAATACTACATTAATCTACCTTTCAAGACTGTAAAAAAGTGAGACTTTGTTATGTCACTTGTCCTTGTGTGAAAAAAAAAAAAAAAAAAAAAAAAAAAAAAAAAAAACTCACAGATAGCATTTATTTGGATTCAACTGTAATGGGTAGTAAATAGCAAAGTGATAATAGAAAAGTGTATATAGTAGTAGTAGGGGGTTTTTTTTTTGATATCAATGAAGGTGGCAAATTATTTACATATGGGTGCATTTTTTTTAGCAGTTTTTTGATAAAAGTGTGTATAATTCTTCAGGGCTTTTCTGCTGTAAAAGCTTATCAATTTGTACATAGAGTTTATACTTTTCAGAGTCGATCTTTTTTCGTTTGTTGTTTTCGGTTGCGGATGTGGATGGTAATGGCTTCTGTCATGATTTTCTTTTGTTTAGTAAACACATGTCTTTTAGTTTCAATAGTAAAACAATGAGACTTACTGTCGCTGTTTCTATGAGAGCTCGAAGTGTGTCGTTGTGTAGTGCTGCTGGTGGGTTGGTGCAAGTGGCATCTTTTGGGATACTCGGATGAGATAAAGCATTTGCTCCTCCTCCTCCTCCTCCTCCTCCTCCTCCTCCTCCTGCTTGGAAAAAAGCCATATTTTCAAGCCACTGTAATACTAGGTTAGAAACAACAATCAAGAGGAAAACACTGCTATTACTTACATCATCAATTTCGCTCTTATCGTCATGAAAAAGATGAGACATTGGTTTATGAGATGTAATGGGTGAAGTAAACGCTGTTGGCGGTGTACTTACTTCACTTGATGAAGAGGTGAGTGTGGATGATGGTATGGATTGTCTTCGGTGTTCAACAGCGTTGTTCTTTCTCTTTCTGGCTTCTTCTATCGCCCTTGAATACGCAAAATACGTGTTAGTGTCGTGTTTCCCTTAAAGAAACGCTTTGTATTACTTTTTGGTATATTTCGCAAAATCCATGACAAATCTCTCAGAGGCGCTTTCGTCTTGATCCACTTCCATTGTTTCATCCTGCTTTGTTTTCGTTGTTGGTTTCGCCTTTGGACCATCATCAATCACGTTGGAAATGTAGTTGTGATACGCGCTGGACGGTAGCTGACTATTAATCACTGTAGGATTCTTTTGTCGTCGTGCAGGTTTCTAATAAAGAGACTTGTGAGATGGAGTGCATCGATGTGTGAGTGTGCGCCACCTACTATGATGTGTTCAATATGGTTGGGACAGCGCCATTTCTTTGCTGGATTGGGTGGAGACGCCATGGGAGGATTCAAGCAATCAAGATGCCAATACAGTGGGCAAAAGTCGCAATGAATCATTGGTTTCTTTAACGCTGTTTTTCGACAGTGATAGCACACGAGGAAATCCCCATTTTTGTCCTTTAATGCGTAGTAATCCGGTTGCTCTGGCTGGCCATGTCTAGTACATCATTTAATACACAACCCCTTCTTCCTTGCTGGTAAAAGTATTTGCTTACTTGTATCGAACACGCTTCGTCATAGAAGTGTCAATGTAGTCGCCCTCTTTATCTGCTGCAACTATCGACGCATTGCAGCAATCAGTATATGCTGCAATCAGCAATTCAGCCCACCCAAAACTTACCATGCTCAAAAAAGTTGATGATATCACTTGGCAATCTGTATTCCAACGGATTTCTCTTTTCTATGTCCTCGACCAGCTCACGAAACATACCCGTGCACTTTGATTTGGATTTCTTGAGCTAGAACGATCATAGCTAGCGCATGAGAACCGGCTCCAACTCCAGCGCACACAACACACTGGATCTTTCTTACCTTTGACTTTTTTGATCCCAATCTCTTGTGCTCGCACTCGTTACAATACCAATTATCGCTAAGCTTATCCAAATCTTCTGTATCCATTGGGGGTTCCACACACGTTAAATGAAATGCATTTGGGCAGGCATCGCAGCACAGAAATTGTCCAGCACCGCCACACGCATCGCAGAAATCATGATTCTACAGACATGGGAGATCAATGATTCATGCGATTTTGCGAGAGACAATGAAGTGTAACTTTACCTTTTTGTTTGCTTCAGCAAGACTCTTCTTTTGCGTTGTTGTAGATTGATAGTCTGCAGATTTGCATTGACGATGCCTATCAGGTCCTGTTAGCAGGGCATTGAAACTTGGCTTTTTAGCATGTTATACCTTGTGTCCGTTGCAAGATTCAAATTTCGTTTGATTTCTCTGAGGTCAGGAGAGGCTGATCTAGCGTACATGTCATTTCCTGGAGTTGAGCGTTTCATAGTTTGTATATATATATCACCAAAAAGAGAGCAATATATATATAGGATGATGCTCAGGTAATTACAAACAATCAATGAAAAGATTATTTAAAGATCTGGTAGACAAAAAAAAATAAAGGGGCAAGATTAGAGTGAAGGGACTTTTGAATGTTTGAATGTCAATTTTTTGTAGGTTATTTTTTTTTTTTTTTGGATTGAAGGGAGTTCCAATTCTGTGATGAGGGAGGAAACGAGAGAGAGAGAGAGGGGGGGGGGGGGGGGTGAGAGAGAGGAGAAGAAAAAAAATTAGAAAGAGGAAAAAAAAAGAAATTTAAAAAAGAGGGTTTTATTTAAATACCCATTGGTGTGAGTTGCGTGTACACCCGCTCGCTCTGTACAGGGTGAAAAAGGGCATGATGGGGCTTAAAACCCACATGTTATCCAAGAAAGACGCCTTTCGCTCCTGTCCCTTCTCTGCCTAGCAATCGCTATCCACCGGCCCATTCGGAGTTCTTCTACATGGATCATCTAGGATGGCTACATTGCGATGTGGAAGAGCAATAATGGTAGCGATAGGGACAATATTGATACAAGCTGATAGGTAGAATGTTCTAGTCCTATTTCTATGCTCAAAGTATATATTTTTTTATGGTATCTACACAATGAGAATCGTTGAAAAAAAAACGACATGATGTACATTGGGAACAGGATGACATCCACTGCTGACATCAAGACAAAGAGTTACTGTACCTGTCATGGTGCTGCATTGAAAACATATAAAAGTCGTTCAGACAATGGATCTTAACTTCATCAATAAGCACATGTTGTTCTTGAGACTTGTTTCTACTTGCAAAGAAAATCTGATGACAAAAACCTCAAATGCTGTAAACAAGAATAGAATATGGCCTACTACAAGTTGGCAGAGACAAATTGTATTCGTTGCTTTTCTTTTGCTACTACCATCCTCAAACTGTATATTTGGAACAGAGAGGGGGGGGAAGGGAGAGGCTGTTACGGAAAAGAATCTAGCTAAACATGGATGGCCGCCATCCTGTAGACTATTTTATCAGTCAACTATGGAAAAGAGCAGTTAAGACTTGGTATAGACAATTGATATTCGAGTGTGATATCATAGGTACTCAATTGAGGAAAAGGCTTGATTTATTACTATTACAGGGAGTAAATTTCTCTACTACATACGATGTATATATGATGGGCCTGGTGAAGTACGGCGTAATCATGTCGTAAAAAAAAAAAAAAAAAAAAAAAAAGAGAGAGTGCAAATAGGCTTATGTGATCCCAAGTCTTTCTATATATTCACAAACTATGCTGATAATAAACAGCAGCTCTACTACGTATGTATAACTTGGCAAAATATACTCTCCAAGTGATTATCTTCTGATTAAGACCGTTGTGTTACCGATGAAATGAAAAACTTCTCACTCATATACACCAACAGCGTTTAAAAGATTACGAGTCGATGGAATTAGACTCAGTAGCAAAGATGATGTAGGCTGACTAGAAAAGTATATATAGTCGTTATAAAGTCAATGTTGCAGATAGAATGATGGGGGCAGTGAACATTCACTATGCACTGGGGTATGGTATCAAGAGCACCACATATCACCCTTCATATGTATCTAAACCAAGTTTTATAGACGGATGAATGTATACACACCATTTATATTCGCAGCAAGCGGATTCCCTCACATCTACTGGCAACTGGCACAGGTAGTATATATCAACGGTTCACTATTAGAGGCTCATCACCTTACCGTCTTGCTTGATCGTTCGCATGCATATATTGCAGGTATCAATTTTGCATATTGCGACTGTGATACCCCATTTCATTGTGCATGTTCAATACCGTATGACTGTGAGGCGGTATGCATTGGAAATCATCCATGATTTAGTAATGCTCGCTTATGAAACCAAACTCTGCACGACGCGTAACATGCTAGAGCTGACGACTCTGTATTGGTTGGCACAGCTATTACTTTCATGGCTTGTCTCTTTGGCGGTACGGATGCACTCAATCATAGACACACCGATTGCTTTCCATGGCTACGGTAATAACAAAACATATAGTACGCAACTTGAAACTCTGCAGCACCATCCATGAATACAAGGAAATCTTTACTAGATATGGGAGCTTACGTCTGCTTTGCTATTTTTTCAACGGCTCCCTGTTCCCTGTTCCCTGATTCCCGTTGCTACATCTCAATTTAAGTTTGATTGTCCTCCCTTAAAGATACTTTATGACCATTTTCTGAAAGGACATGCCATCAATACTCTACTATATATGACCTGCATCCGTATAAAGTAATAGCAAAAGCCAGCTTGAATGCATAAAATATGCTCTTTTGCACAATGTTGTGTTAGGCACCAAAAAATCGCAAGTTCAACGTTAGTATTTACACATTTGAATTGCCACACTACTGATATAAGTGGGTGCGCAGCTCTCGACAATTTGCTGGGTGATACTCCATGTGTTGAAATAAGATGGTCAACTCAGTTATACTTGTTTGATATTTGCTTGATAAGATACATCAATGCTGAGCATTTTGACTCGAATAAGCATTTAGTAGAAAGCTGTATTGATGATGTGTGTGGCCTGTGATGCACTGGTACGTCTGTTATGGGAAACAATTATGGCTCTTAGCTATGACTCCCTTTAGAATTACAAAATTCCAATTCAAAGCGTAGTGTTTGATACGTTGGTATAACTAAATTCAACATCACAATCAGACCAAGCCTACAAAAACAGCCAAAATTGCATATTATTAGGCTTTTGATGCCAAATTATCATAGTTGGAAGCCATTTCTAGTGCTGGAAAAGATACCAATCGAGTGCTACAGAGCATTAAATTTGACCTGCTATCAATGTACAACATTTCTGGGAACTTTTTTTTTCCACCTCAAAATTTGACGGTTTTGGTCTTGTAGTAGCAAGGGAAAAATTGCAAATCAGACAAATGTCGACTTTTCAGGCGAAAAATGAAACTTTTTACTAAGGTATATATTAGATGAATTTGCTTTAGAAACTCGTCTTTATCTGATGAAAACGTTTATTTGGAACACACAAGCCAACAATTTTGATTTTTCTCTGATAAATCGAAAAAGCAGTTTATTAAAGTTATCTATGCAATTTTCAGCGACATTGCAAAAACAAAAAATACCATTGAATAGAGCGCATTCGAATGTATATACTTTGCTAGAACAACTGTGGACGTTTAGTAATCTCATTGGGACGAAAAAATTTTCGAAAGATCATAAAAATTCCAATTTTTTTTTTATTTGTAAGTATGAAGATTTATTGGTTAAGATAAACTCATAAAAGATATTTGGATAAAATATAAAAGGGGAGCAGGTGTAATGTAAAGTGACCTGTCCTGAAAGGCAAAGAAAACAAAATTAGCTTAACAAGTTAAGAGAGGATATTCTACGCAAGTTGGTCATGGCACGGTCCATTACGGACTGATTGTCAAAACCAACGCTATCATAATGATCACGCCATTTGGCGCGCCAAATAGCTGTGATAACACAGGTTACGGCTTCAAACGTGGACACCTTGAGGGATGAATCCAAGAGGCAGTACGAGGAGAGGTCCAGGGAGAGGACATCCGTAGCAACTTGGCTCATATCAAGTGGCCCAAGAGGCACAAAAAGCAGGGCAAAGTAATTTGTCCAAATGTCCCAATTGGCAGGGCAAGTAAAGAGCATGTGAGTGGTAGTCTCACGGTAGCCACAATACACGCAAAGATCATCTGGTAGCTTGAAGATCTTGTACACATTGACTTTGGAAGAGACCTTATTATGAATCAACCGGAACCAAAGATTACGAGCTGCACTGGGCATTTTCGTTTGAAGAAAAGAGGCCACGGTGAGTCGGTTTACATCTACCCGAGGGTTGGTTATTGGAGGGTGATCGCGCATGTACATTGCACGAAGCTCGGTATTAGACATGGACAGAATCGTAATACCTTGGTAGGAGAGCTTGTGACAATAGTAGGGCGACAGATCAACACCTCCACCGGTGACAAGTAATGGCTCAGGACCAGCAGGATTGGCAAGAAGAATGGGGCAAAGGGAAGACACAAAGTGGATGGTGTTGGAGCGTACGGCCGCGACCATTCTAGAGAGAAGGCCGGGGCTGGAGCAGGCAGCTCTTGCTTTGAACACCAAGGCCTCAGGGAGACGACTTTGTTCGAGGAAGACACGGGCAGGCAACTGACGGAACTGTTTGTGATACAGAAGACTGGGATCGGTAGTTGCCGGATCAAAGAGCACTGTCATAGGCAACTGTAACAACGTATCCACCGACAAACCACAATCAGACCAAGACGCTTCAACAGCAAAGGCATCCACCGAGCGGAGGATTGGCAGCAAGCAGTGTTGGTGAGGCAATGAGGTTCCAAAACGCAGGTTACGGAACAGCAATGGCAGTTGAGGGTGGGCAGCCCCGTAGGTGACCTGTATGAACGCGCATAGCAGTTGCATGAGGAAAGCAGGAATGGGGCGAGAGACCTGATTATCCAAAAGCAAAGCGCGAACATAGCGTTGTTGCAAGATGTGCTGTTGCACCTTAATATCAATGACGCCTAGACCACCGACATGCTTTGGCAGGTATATGACGGATTTCTTCATGGTGGGTACAATCTTATGACAGACAAATTGGTACACCAAGGAAGAGATCTTTCGCTCAAAAGCGGTGGGCAGGGTAGTGACACGCAGCATGTGCCAAAAGCGAGCTAGGAACAACGAATTTACCATGTTTGCACGACCGTAGACAGAAATGCTTCTTGTACGATGTCTATCCAGGGAGGCTTGAAGCTTGAGGATAGTTTCTTTACAGAAGGCATCTCGCTGGGCTTTGCTGAACCATATAGGATAGCCAAGGTACTTAATGTAAGATGGACTATCCGAGTCGTACCATTGAAACTGGAGCCGACTAGAGAGGCGAAACAAGTCAGGACGCACGCGGGACCTATCTCCAGCCAAAGGGAAGGCGATGGACTTGT